AATGGTCGTACCTCGCGAGGATCACACATCGCAAGGGTTATACCTCGCGAAGGTCAAACGTTGTAACGGTTAAACAACAGAGATAGGCAGAGGACAGTAAGTAATTTACCAAGAAGGTTTTAGACCTTTTTGACCGCGTGTGTGCGTGGTTGACAACAACACAGTTGTTCTGGCGCGAGAACAACCCCGTTGACAGGTTTGCAAGGGTCAAACGTCGCAATGGTCGTACCTCGCGAGGATCACACATCGCAAGGGTTATACCTCGCGAAGGTCAAACGTTGTAACGGTTAAACAACAGAGATAGGCAGAGGACAGTAAGTAATTTACCAAGAAGGTTTTAGACCTTTTTGACCGCGTGTGTGCGTGGTTGACAACAACACAGTTGTTCTGGCGCGAGAACAACCCCGTTGACAGGTTTGCAAGGGTCATGCCTCACAAGGGTCAAACATCGCAATGGTCGTACCTCGCGAGGATCAAACATCGCAAGGGTTATACCTCGCGAGGGTCAAACGTTGTAACAGTTAAACAACAGAGGTAGGCAGAGGACAGTAACTAATTTATCAAGAAGGTTAGACCTTTTTGACCGCGTGTGTGCGTGGTTGACAACAACACAGTTGTTCTGGCGCGAGAACAGCCCCGTTGACAGGTTTGCAAGGGTCAAACGTCGTAATGGTCGTACCTCGCGAGGATCACACATCGCAAGGGTTATACCTCGCGAAGGTCAAACGTTGTAACGGTTAAACAACAGAGATAGGCAGAGGACAGTAAGTAATTTACCAAGAAGGTTTTAGACCTTTTTGACCGCGTGTGTGCGTGGTTGACAACAACACAGTTGTTCTGGCGCGAGAACAACCCCGTTGACAGGTTTGCAAGGGTCATGCCTCACAAGGGTCAAACATCGCAATGGTCGTACCTCGCGAGGATCAAACATCGCAAGGGTTATACCTCGCGAGGGTCAAACGGTAACGGTTAAACAACCGAGGTAGGCAGAGGACAATCTCAAAGGTCAAACGACAACAAGCGGCGACCGGGGAGGCAGGAAAGACAATCACAACGGTCCAACGATTATGAGGGTCAAACAAAAGGAGCAGGAAGGAAACTCCTCAAGGGTCTAACGGGAGACATGATCCTCGAGAGGTATAACCCTTGCGACCTCAGAACCTTGCAACGTTGGCCCCTTGTGAGGTACGACCGTTGCGACGTTTGGCCCTCGCGAGGCAAGAACCTTGCGAGATATGACCTGTGCCACATTTGACCCTCGCGAGGCATGATCTTTGCGAGATATGACCTTCATGACGTTTCTCGCTTGTTAGGTGTGACCCTTGTGACGTTTGACCCTTGAAAGGTATGGCCCTCGTGACCTTTGACCCTTGTAAGGTGCAACCTCATTGTCGACTTGTTTTTTCTCTGCATTTGAGAGACGGAATTGTGTTATAACCGGACTTCAGATGACGAGCAGCGCATAATGTCTTCGTCAGATAATCTAAAAACAGATTAATGAGATTGTATAAATATTGATCAGTGGCAGTTGTTCACGGGGCGTGGCTCATTTCCTCGCTTCACTTTCTTCCTTGAACTTGACCCGGTTACATTGCCGCAATCCGAGTGACAGCTCAGGCCGATGACTTCTGGTACAGCGTCTGGGCTCTCTTGGAACACTGGGATATTTATGTAACGTTTCAGTGTTGCCTATGAGTCACAGTGGTCAGCACGAATGAACGAAGGAAAATGAGAGAATTCGAAATGAGAGGAGACGGGCATTTTATTTGGTCTGCGCATACAAGTTGTACCGGTTTTATTTTTCTCAAGGGTTCGAAGACCTGGGGCATTTTTCCTTTGTGCTCGCTCGAGTGCAGTGGAGGCATTGTGGAGACTGGTTAACTGTTACTGATGTTTCTTTTTGAGGATGGGAAAATTCTTTGGTTGGCTTGAAAAATAAATAAGTACTTTGGTGAATGAATTCGGGATTTTGGGTTTTTTGAGGAAGATCGGCTTTTGTGAGAGGATGTGCGCAGTTGGTGATGGAGATTTGTTTGAGTGGGTTCTTAAATTCAGAACTTTCGGACTCTTAAAGTCTTATCGTGTCCCAGTTTTTATTTTTGACCCTTATATTTTGACACTCAGTGCCTGACCCGTATATTACACTTAATAGGGCTCGCTACAACCCGGCCTGATACAAAACAATCATCTTCGAATTGAAATACCCATCCCTCAATTGAATAAATTGAATAAAATCAGTAGCCAAATGATAAAGTGGTTTACGTCAATTTTGACTATTGGCCAGTTTTCAATGAATATCTCGGAATCTAAGAGAGATAGCAAAATTTTTGTTGGAACCTTTTTTGTAGAGCCGAGTGAGACCTACAACAAATGTGATTACGAAAATTTCGCTATCTCCCTTAGATTCGGAGATATTTCTCGAAGACTCAACTGGGAGATGAGTCGACTTGAACAGTTTTACCACTTCGCTACTGAAATATACTTGAATCAGGTATATTTTTTTCCTGTGATTCTTGAATCATCCTGGAAATAATCACATTGAATAGTTATAACTGATGTCAATAATAATTTTCTTATGAGAAAAATCGAATAATAACCAACGGTTAATTCAGTCACAATGAAACTGACGATTTGAGCGTTACCCCGAAGCAAAACTGATGCTCTCCACAGCAGTATAATCCATATCATCGAATCACGCAGGCCGTATCGGTAATGATGGTAATTCACGAGGGTATATTCCATAGTAAAAGATCTTCACCATCCTCAACAACCAAAAGTACACGTTTCGCGACCGTTACGATTATTTTTCCACCGGCCCGGAGGGGGCAACAGCAGAAAAATCACCACGAACATTTTGCAATTGCAAGTCGAGGAAAATAGACGCTCCGAGATGTTTAAATCCAGTTGTTACAGCAAATTTGCATTGAATCATTTCTCATGAATCATCGGGTGATTCCCCCAGTGCAGACGAAGGGGATCCCTGATGATTGGTCATTAAAAGTCATGACAGACTTCCGGAATCAGTTTTTTTTTGCTCGGGGAAACGGGTAAATAGTCAGCGGTGGGAGTCATCGGTGATGATATTACCTTGGGGTTTTCTTAATTCGTTGAGTGATTCAAAGTTCTTTTGAGAAAAAAGTGACCTAATATCATGAGAATAATTACCACGTGACAGTTCCATTTAAATTTCAAGGAATTTCGTCGTTAAAAATTAAGAATTTGATTTAAAAAATCATTTTAGGACTGGAAATTTCTATCCAGAAATCTCTATCACTTTATAGTTCTACTGAAAATTCAAAGGATTTCAAGTTGAATAATTACCAAGTGACCGTTCCACTTGAATTTCAAGAAATTTCATTATTAAAAATTCACAATTTACTAAAAAAAATAGTTCAAGACTGAAAATTTCAGTTTAATTGTTCACTGTTGAAAATTCAAAGAATTTCAAGTTGGATAACTACCACGTGACAGTTCCACTTAAATTTCAAGGAATTTCGTCATTAAAAATTCAGAAGTTGATTTAAGAAATCCCATTTGCCATTCATTATTATTTTTTTTTTGTTTCCCATTTGTTTTCCCCGTGCAGACAAATCAATCGTTTCAATCACCTCCCACTCCAACTAATTTTTCCTCTCTACTATTTTTCAGTAAAATTTCATATCGCCCATCTGTACGAAGTCCAGGGTAAATACCGCCTAGCGAAGGAGAACTACGAGACACTTCTGAAGGAGAAGGCCCTACCGTCACACCTGAAGGCTGATATCTGTCGTCAGCTAGGTGAGTCCCACCGCAAAACCACTCCCTAAAATATAATCCAATCGAAAATTTCCCCCTACAACCTTCAATTTGCTATAAAAACCCATCACAATGGATGAGAAAAAATAATGCCCAGTGAAAATGAAAGCACGGAGGGGTCTAAGTTTAAGGTTGAACGACTACGCGGCGTGGCAGACACGTGTATTGATTTATTCTGGAGTAGGGGAGGGCTGATGAAAGAGGGGGTAACGTGGGGATGATGGGGTAACGTTGGGGATGAAACCCACTCCTGGGTGAATCCAGTGGGGGTGGGCTTGGACGATTGTGGGAAGCAGAATTTCAGACCAAACACTGGCTCAACTAGTGTATGTCCCTGACAGATGGCACGTCCTACCTAAATCGACTTAAATGCAGGACTTTCTTTTTTTTTAAATTGCGAGCATTGAATTTCGGGTTATATTCGCTGCGAAGATAATTCCAATGCTCTTTCTAGCGATGTAAAATGACAAATTTTTAATTTTTTTTAACTGTGATTTTGTGGTCCCACGACGCGATCCAGAAAATGACGGTCACACTGTTGGGAATTTTTTGGAACTTCATAGATGCTGTAGGGAATCTGATGATGAGAGTGACATTGAATCGAATTCAGGGAAAAGATGGTTGGGAAATTTCAAGTTTAAGTAGAATTCACGGAAATTCATGAGCTTTCAGTGGGAGTGAGATGGAAATTTCACAACTTGATTGAATTTTCAGGCCAGATTGAGGTTCGCAAGGATTGGAGTAAGGGTCCAAATAAGGATTAGGGGGTCAAACATTAAGGGGTGCCAGGGTCAAAAGAAGGGTCAAGAGGGTTATAATGAGGGTCAGATTAAGAATCCAAATAAGGGTTACAAGGATCAGATTAAGGGTCATATGGGTCAGACTGAGGGTCGCAAAGGTTAGAGTAAGGGTCCAAAAAAGGGTCATGGGGCTAAAAAACTAAAGGTCGCTAGGGTCAAAAGAAGGGTCAAGAGGGTTATAATGAGGGTCAGATTAAGAATCCAAATAAGGGTTACAAGGATCAGATTAAGGGTCATATGGGTCAGACTGAGGGTCGCAAAGGTTAGAGTAAGGGTCCAAAAAAGGGTCATGGGGCTAAAAAACTAAAGGTCGCTAGGGTCAAAAGAAGGGTCAAGAGGGTTATAATGAGGGTCAGATTAAGAATCCAAATAAGGGTTACAAGGATCAGATTAAGGGTCATATGGGTCAGACTGAGGGTCGCAAAGGTTAGAGTAAGGGTCCAAAAAAGGGTCATGGGGCTAAAAAACTAAAGGTCGCTAGGGTCAAAAGAAGGGTCAAGAGGGTTATAATGAGGGTCAGATTAAGAATCCAAATAAGGGTTACAAGGATCAGATTAAGGGTCATATGGGTCAGACTGAGCGTCATAAGGGTTAGAGTAAGGGTCCAAGTAAGGGTCATGGGGGTAAAAAACTAAGGGCTGTCAGGGCCAAAATAGGGGTCAAGAGGGTTATAATTAGGGTCAGATTAAGAATCCACATAAGGGTTACAAGGATCAGATTAAGGGTCATATGGGTCAGACTGAGCGTCATAAGGGTTAGAGTAAGGGTCCAAGTAAGGGTCATAGGGGTAAAAAACTAAGGGCTGTCAGGGCCAAAATAAGGGTCACGAGGGTTATAATAAGGGTCAGATTAAGAATCCAAATAAGGGTCACAAGGGTCAGATTAAGGATCCAAATAAAGATCGCGAGGATTAGAAACTCAGAATCACAAGGGTAAAAATAAGGGTCTCTATATTATAAAAATCCAAATCGACTTTTGGTGATGAAAATTTGGTACTCGAAATTAAGACTCTGAAATTAAGCGTCAAGAAGGGTAAAATGAGGGTCACGCGGGCCAGATTAGGGGTCAAAATAAAGATCATGGGGATCATAGAGAGCGTAGCCCCCTAGTACGACATATCAAGCAATTGTTATCAACCTGTTTTTTTATTTAAAATAATCTGCTTCTTTCAATAATTAATTTATCTTTATATTTAGACAACAAAACAACAAGACAATTTAATATATTATAATATAGTACAACAAAACAATTTAATATAAAAAATATTATCTAATTTCTCCCAAAATAATCTGATCCAATTCATTGACTCATACTTACCCAGAAAATGTGCTAATACGCAATAAGACCGAATACATTGTCCTTCAACCCCCCACAGTGTCCCCATTCACTCTTCATCGACCTGACCCATTTAACATTCCGGAAATTCACCAGTTATAAACATAGCATCTTGAACCTCCCATCCCTCAACCCGGGATTAATGAAATTCAATAACAGAGGATTTCTAGTGAATGGGAAATAACCGTGTGAACTTCCAGTGGCAATGACAGAGTTCGTGGGAGGCGAGTCCACTCCTCACTGTTGTCATTACGTGAATTGCAATTGAGAGTCCCTGGGTCTTTATTCAGTTGAGACAATGGGGAATGAAGAAAAAAAAGAAGACAATGAATTCAGCCATTGGAGCCTTGAAGTTTGTCAATAGAAAAATCGAACAAAAAATAGCAGGAAAATGATGACAAAAAAAGTCGGGGACAATTGCATGAAATAATCGATGAATTGCGGACAGTGGAATGGAAAAATTGAACGGGGGAATAGAAAAAATTGTAAAAGGAATGGAGAACGAGTGTTTAGCACAATTCAGGAAACTTTTTTTTTTGTTTTTGCTTCGGGGTCAAACGAGTTAGAGTAGAGTGATCAGAAATGGTCATTTGACCTTTATCGCTACACGTCTTCAAGGGCCGTTTGACCTTTAAGACCATTTGACCCTCAATTAAAAACAAAAAACAAAGTCTCCTGAATTGTGTTAAGCAGTCGTTTTTCCTGATGCTTAATTTCGCCGAAAACACCAAAGCCGAAGACCCCTGAACAAGTTCTCTCGAATTCTCCTTCAAACTCACATGTTTCTGATTCAAAAAAATAGCCGCAATGGTCATAATCATATGCGTCAGGACGGTTCCAGACCCAGCGACGATGCACCACCTCAACGGCAGTGGTAGCATAGCATAAGGTGCATAAACAACAAAAAGAATGTACCACATCATCCTCTGTTGTGAATAGAAATTCAGTCCAGCAACACCGAAACCTGAAGATCATGAACAAAATGTAGCGATGAGGATTGACAAATGAGCCAGTGACAACTGGAATTGTAAAAATATAATGACAAATAGAATGAAGAGACTAACGAGCCAGTTTTCATTTACTTCAGTCTCAAGGCAACTTCCTCAGTGGATAACGTATTTTTGGGATTTTTCGTCTAGTTATTGAGGCGAATGAGTGAGATAGGGCTTTTATGTTTAATCAGAGATGCTTGAATTCTTCTGGTTGAATGATGTGGGGCCACTGACCTTGAGTGTTTATTAACATCCAGGTAAATATAGATGCCCAGTAGAGGTAATTGTTGGAGAACCAACGCCACAGGCCTAGGATGCAGACGACTAGGTTTGCCAGCATGCAGCACAACACCCAGGACAGGGTTTCTATCAGGCCACTGCTCTTTTCCGTTCTTCGGGATATCCATATTGATATCAAGGCTATCTGCAAGGTCTGGAGAAACGAGGAAATGTCTTTGGATTAGTTTCTCGAGATCTAGAATCTCTGTTGGGCAGAGAAAAAAGCCAGTGACAACTGGAATTGTAACAATATATTGACAAATGGAATCGAGTAACTAACAAGCCTGTTTTCAATTGAGACAATTTGACCCTCAACTGAGAACAATAAAAAAAGTTGCGGTTGTTTCATGGCGACTTCTCGTTTTTGTAAATCATCAATTGCAAAATACCATTTTTTGCTCCAACGATTTTACGATTCACCAACCCACGAAGACCCCTTGAAAGTTATTACAGAAGAGTCTTTATTGCAGTTTCCTCAGCTCGTTACTTCACCTTGAAAATTGCTTTATGATACCCAACACCCAATCGATTTCACCATCACCTTTGTCCCTTGAATATTCCTCCTAAGTTCTCAATATATATTTTTTTTCTTCTCTCTACCTTCCTGCCACCTCGGTCTTCTTTTATGATGACGAGATGGAGGCAGGAGGGGAGGCTGAAATGCTTCCACGGGAAAAAGTTTTCGTGTATACCTAGTAGCTACGTGAGGAATTACTCGGGCTTTATGGCGCTCACTGTGCAGAGTAATCCAAGTGGCTCTTCCCCGGGAGAACCAGGGAAATAAAGAGGGGAAGGGATAGTTTTGGGTCTTGCGCCAGGTGTTCGTTTTGGTAGATTCAATGGTGGGGCAGGTTTAATGGGAAAATCTTGCATCAAGTGTACGAAAAAAAAAACGTTGGGGAACTGTGACAAGTTGGGGTGAATTCATCTAGTCAATTGTGGAATAAAATTTCAAATGAGAATTTTACTTTTGTCAATATTGGAAATTTTTGCTGATGTTCCAGTACACTTGGCAATTTTTACCAATTTTCACTGGAATTTCGAGGAATTTCATCATTGAAGTTGATAATTTAATTAACAAATCGGGAGAAATTGTTACATTGACAATTTTATTTAAACATCTGGAGGAATTGTAAATTTTCCGCCACAGTATTTCAGTCTGATAGAATCCATTCTTTCCCACAAATTTCATGAACTGCAAAAAAATACTTGCAAAATTAAGATGTTAATCGATCTATATTATAAAAATCCAAATGGACTTCTGGTGATGAAAATTTGGTACTCAAAATTAAGAATTCAAAATTAAGGGTCACGAGGGTCAAAATAAAGGTCATGAGGGTCAGAATAAGGATTGCAAGGGTCATCTTAAAGGTCTAAATAAGGGTTACAAGGACCATATTAAGGGTCAGAGTAAAGGTCCAAATAAGGGTTACAAGGGTCAGATTAAGGATCACAAAGGTCAGGTTAAGGACCCAAATAAGGGTCACGAGGCTCAGAAAGTAAGGGTCACAAGCGTCAAAATGAGGGTTTCTACATTCCCTTCATATTATAAAAATCTAAATCAACTTTTGGCAATGAAAAATCGGTACTCAAAATTAGGACTTGAAAATTAAAGGTCATAAGGGTTAGGGTAAAGGTCATGGGGGTAAAAAACTAAGGGCACCCAAGGTCAAAATAAGGGTTATAATGAGAGTCAGATTAAGGATCACAAAGGTCAGATTAAGGGTCCAAATAAGGGTCACGTGGATTAGAAAGTAAGGGTCACACGCGTCAAAATGAGGGTCTCTATATTCTCTTTATATTATAAAAATCGAAATCGACTTTTGGCAATGAAAAATCGGTACTCAAAATTAGGACTTCAAAATTAAAGGTCACAAAGGTTAGAGTAAGGGTCATGGGGGTAAAAAACTAAGGGTCACCAAGGTCAAAATAAGTGTTATAATGAGGGTCAGATTAAGGGTCCAAATAAGGGTCACGTGGATTAGAAAGTAAGGGTCACAAGCATCGAAATAAGGGTCTCTATCAAAATAAGGGTTTTTTATATTGTAAAAATCCAAATCGACTTTTGGCAATGAAAATTTGCTACTCAAAATTAGGACTTAAAAATTAAAGGTCACAAGGGTTAGAGTAAGGGTCATGGGGGTAAAAAACTAAGGGTCACCAAGGTCAAAATAAGGGCTATAATGAAGGTTATGTTGAGGATCAGATTAAGGATCACAAAGGTCAGATTAAGGGTTAAAATAAAGGTTACGAAGGGTATAATGAGGGTCACAAGGGTCAACATAAGGGTCATATGGGGGTTGGCGAGCGGAGCGAGCAGGGGGCGTAGCCTCCTAGTCTGTGAACTAGTCTGAGAACTTCGTTCCTCACTCTTCCACACGCCACATTTGACATAAAAATTATCTTGATTTCTGCTTTCGAAGGGGAATTTCTCATCGAAAATGTCCTCAAACGCTTGTAGATCTCAAGATATCTCCAAAAATTCATCTTTAACTGAAAATTTCACGTCTCCAGAAAGGGAATCTGCCCTTCTTTACTTTAGAATTCTCGTTCCTCAATAAATCACACAAAAAAATCGTCATTCCAAAAACTCAACTCATCCAAAATTCAAACTTAAAATGTATCTGGAAAGAAACATCCTCCACAATATTTCAACGTAATAGAATACAATAAATTCTACGCCTATGTTTATACTGCAGTGAAGAACCTAGGGGGAAAAGGGAATAGAACAGAGACACGAGAGCCGCTGAGGGGGAAGAGGGCAGCGTAGGGCAGAGGGGGGATTTTTGGTAATTCGAGAAGTGAGTGGGGAAATAGGGGGAGAGGGATCCTAGCCGAGCTAAAGTGGCCTACCCTAGGCCATACCTGCACAATTTCTATTCAGTTAGACGATCGTCTAGTGTCGTAGCAACGTCCCCCTCAGGTCGACTCCTGAGGGCACAAATTTCGTTCCCACAGTGCAAAATAATTCAACGAAAAATTCAACAATTTTAGTTCGCTTTATTCAGCCCTGAAAAGGTGATGAGAGTTAATTTTTTTCTTTGAGATTTCATCTCGTGGTTTTTCATTTTTATGTGGTTAATTGATTAATTCATTTTTACGGGTGGAATTGTATTTTGCGAACGTGAGATGATTAATTCGGCAGCTGCATAAGAGATTTAGTGGTTGGAGGATGGGATAGAATTTGAAATTTGGAACAAATGTGGCTCTTCATCTATTTTATTTTGGAAAAGTGGAAATTCTGAGTGATGCCTGGAATGCGGGGGTGGAAAGAGTTACGGATAATTATTTCTCAAGGAAAATTTTACAATTTTATTCTGTTTTATTTGACGCTGAAAAGGTGATGAGAATTAATTTTTTTTAGTTTCATCTCTTCGTTTTTAATTTTTATGTGATTAATTGATTAATTAATTTTTAATTGTGAAATTATATTTTGCGAACGTGTGATAATTAATTGAGCAGTTGAATAAGAGATTTAGTGGTTGGAGGATGATTTAAAATCATAAATTTGAAACAGATGTGGCTCTTCATCTATTTTATTTTGGAAAAGTGGAAATTCTGAGTGATGCCTGGAATGCGGGGGTGGAAATAGTCTCGGATAATTATTTCTCAAGATCCAAAATTTTACAATTTTATTCTGTTTTATTTAATGCCGAAAAGGTGATGAGAATTTTTTTTTTTTAGTTTCATCTCTTCGTTTTTAATTTTTATGTGATTAATTGATTAATTAATTTTTAATTGTGAAATTATATTTTGCGAACGTGTGATAATTAATTGAGCAGTTGAATAAGAGATTTAGTGGTTGGAGGATGATTTAAAATCATAAATTTGAAACAGATGTGGCTCTTCATCTATTTTATTTTGGAAAAGTGGAAATTCTGAGTGATGCCTGGAATGCGGGGGTGGAAATAGTCTCGGATAATTATTTCTCAAGATCCAAAATTTTACAATTTTATTCTGTTTTATTTAATGCCGAAAAGGTGATGAGAATTTTTTTTTTTTAGTTTCATCTCTTCGTTTTTAATTTTTATGTGATTAATTGATTAATTAATTTTTAATTGTGAAATTATATTTTGCGAACGTGTGATAATTAATTGAGCAGTTGAATAAGAGATTTAGTGGTTGGAGGATGATTTAAAATCATAAATTTGAAACAGATGTGGCTCTTCATCTATTTTATTTTGGAAAAGTGGAAATTCTGAGTGATGCCTGGAATGCGGGGGTGGAAATAGTCTCGGATAATTATTTCTCAAGGAAAATTTTACGAGTTTATTCTGTTTTATTTGACGCTGAAAAGGTGATGAGAATTAATTTTTTTTAGTTTCACCTCATCGTTTTTAATTTTTATGTGATTAATCGATTAATTAATTTTTAATTGTGGAATGACATTTTGCGAACGCGTGATAATTAATTGAGCAGTTGAATAAGAGATTTAGTGGTTGGAGGATGATTTCAAAATCATAAATTTGAAACAAATGTGGCTCTTCATCTATTTTATTTTGGAAAAGTGGAAATTCTGAGTGATGCCTGGAATGCGGGGGTGGAAATAGTCTCGGATAATTATTTCTCAAGATAAAAAATTTTACAATTTCATTCTGTTTCATTTAATGCCGAAAAGGTGATGAGAATTAATTTTTTTTAGTTTCATCTCATCGTTTTTAATTTTTATGTGATTAATTCAGTAGCGAAGCGGTAAACCGGGTTAAGTCGATTTGGACTATTGGCCAGTTTTTGACGAATATCTGGGAATCTAAAAGAGATAGAAAAATTTTTGTCATGACCTTTTTTGTAGAGCCAACTGAGGGTTATAAAAAAGGTAATGAGCAAAATTTTGCTATCTCTCTTAGATTCCGAGATATTTGTCAAAAAATGGCCAAAAGTCAAAATCGACTTAACCCGGTTTACCGCTTCGCTACTGAATTGATTAATTAATTTTTACTTGTGGAATTATATTTTGCGAACGTATGATTTAGTGGTCGGAGGATGGGATAAAATTCAAAATTCAAAACAAAGTCCATTTCATTTTTCTTTATTTTATATCAATTTTTAAATTCATTTTTAAATTGTTATATGATTAATTAATTCATTTGTTTTTACCTGTGGAATGATATTTTGCACAGTTGAAAATTCGAAATGATGATGGAAATACTGGGACGTGAGGGTGGCTAACAATCGGGGTTAATTTCCACATCCCCTCTGACAGCAATTAAAGCTCTCGTATGTAATAGTCCCGAGAGGTGGACGAGTGAAATTCACCCATCGAATGTCCGAATAAAAATCGTTTTGATCTACCAATTTGCCTTGGTTTTCACTGGTTGGTTATTTGGTTTTAATAATTGTGAACGTTTTTACTATTTCAGGATGGATGTACCATGTGGTTGATTGTGCAGTGCTCGGTGTAACCAGACAGCAGAAACAGGCGTTTGCTATTCACTGTTTGCAGAGGTCCATTGAAGCTGAACCGAAGAGTGGACAGAGTTTGTATCTATTGGGGAGATGTTTGGCTGCTTCTGGAAAGGTTCATGATGCCTTTATTGCATACAGGTCAGTTGGGTTCACTCATTTCTATTTCTTTTTTTTTTTCATTTTACTTTTACGCCGTCAAAGTCCCTATTATATATTATTTTTCGAGAATATCAATTGGAAATGGCCTTTTTCCATTGCAAACATGTGAGAAATGGCTCTTATACTGCATATAGTACAGTTACTTTTGCTAATAAATTAGAAAAATTCTTCCGAATGGTTATTCTACCCATAATCATTTCCTTCTATCATGAGTAATTCATTGTTTATTTCGTTTTTATTAAATTGAATAAGATTTCTTTTCAACTAATTGTGTCAGATTTTCAATTTAGTTGAATGTTGTCATCAACATTTTTCTTATTATCCCCTTTTTTCTGTACACTAGATCTGTGCGCGCGCTTATCTTTTTGTTGTGAAAATCAAGAAATCGAATTTATTAAACTTCATATACTCATAGATGTTTTATAAATATTGATAATGACTTAAAAGAATTAAGAGAATGAAGAAAATGAAGAGTGAAGCATCAATGAATAATTTTTAATCTTCGATTAATTCTTTTTTTTTTTACTTTTAAAAATGATCTGATTAAAATCTGTAATTGTTGAAAACTGAGGGGAGGATTATGAATTGATTTCCCAGAAAACTGAAAAAATTTCTTGAATTCTTCGGAAAATTCCACAGTTTTCCAGATAATTTGTAGCTCTTCAACGATTTTTCTCGAATTATTTGGGAAACCGAAGAATTTTCATGAATTTTGTAGAATTTACGATTTATGTATGAAAATCTGAGAAACAAGAATTGATCATTTTTGCGTATGATAAATATGAAAAAATTAAGATTTGGGAAGTGAGGAATAATTTGTGCGTTAAAAAAATTTAGAAATACTATGTTTATTTTCTCATGATCAACAATTAGGCAATTTAAATATGTTTTGATATAAAGATAAACTTCACGCGTGAAAAAATGAAAAATATGACGCAGAAATTTTTTTTGCCATTTGAAGAATTTGAAAATACCGGGGATTTTTTTCAGATCCGCAACGGATTTTTCAAAAATAGTTTTCTGAAAAAATGATCACAAACTTTTGAACACAAAAAGTCATCATTTTCAACGGAATTCCTTTCAAAAATCAGTGATTTGAGAAGAAAATCTCAAAAACTCCTTTCGTGACTGTGAAACTTGATTTTTTCAACTTTTATCTCTACATGTCCTTTGATATTTGCTCATAGTATCCCGCATTGCCAAGATGACTCATCAATTGCAATAATTCATTCTCTTGTCAAGTGTTGAAAGCACAACAAACTCGTCTCCTTCGTTAACCATCTCGACGATGAGTTATTTTAGGGAAAAATGTATCAAGACCTCTCGTACAGAAAATTCTTGTAGCTGCAAGAAAGATCTCCTGACATTTCCTCATAAGATTACTCACATTGAAGATAACTCCAGATTTGATATCAATGTTTGTGCTTATTTGCGATGAAAAAACGTTCATGTCTGTTCCGATAATTCTAGAAACTCGGTTGAGAAGTCCGAAGGCAATGCAGACACCTGGTGCAGCATAGGTGTCCTCTACCAGCAGCAGAATCAGCCTATGGATGCACTTCAAGCCTACATATGCGCAGTACAATTGGATAAATCTCATTCAGCAGCTTGGACGAATCTTGGAATTTTGTACGAGAGTGTCAGTCAGCCGAAAGACGCCCTTGCCTGCTACGTCAACGCATCCAGGTAAGCAAGTTGTTTTTCTTCATATTTCATCATGAATATGAGTGAAGGAGAGAATGTCGCATTGCGATTTCGTACAGAAGGACCCTCATGTTACTCTTTTACAGTGATAGGCATATGAACCAATTATAATTACCGTTGAGACCCCGGGTCTACCATCTTTCGAGTGTTATCTGGATTTGTTTTATCTTCAGTAATCCAAAATTGTCAATTGGGTGGTACATCACGTGGAAATTCCCAAACATATTGATAGAATGATAAAAAAAATTCTGAACTTTTTCAAAGAGCGTTTTTAATGGAGATTCAGAATAAGTTGAAAAAAGTGGAAATTACAGATATCTGATTCGCTGTGGCAAATTATCTATTCGCTGTCATTTTGAAAGTGAACTCCGACCAAAATACAAAAACGACGATCTATCGCGAAATTTCAATGAGATGGTACCCATATTTTGTTGGATCCAGATATATGACATCAAAACTCAGTCTCGGCATTTCCCCCTAAAACCAATAGTTTCCTCTACGAATGCACAATCACCAGTCATCGCATTTGACTTATTACGATTCCACACTTTCTCCTCTGAACTTCATATGTAAATCCATATACAATCGTTTAATGCACTTTATGATCCATTATCTATATAGTAAATATGTCGGAGCCATCATCCATTCGTGATTTGTGGCAAGTGTGTGGCTGATCGGCCGTCGACGACAGAATGCAACAATTCATCCATTTTACTGACAAACATGTATTGTTTCGATTTGCAACAGGGGAAATAATAATACGCCGTGTTCGCCGAGTCCGCTGGCAGGACTTGGAGGCGCCAAGTCGAGTGGCAACGCTCCGATGAACCCATCTCTTCAGCAGCGAATTAATTTCCTCCAGAGCCATCTGAGTCAAGCACCAATGCCATCAATAGCAGCTAAGTAAGTGAATTTACCTCATTCATCACGCCTAACCAAAACTTGGTTCTTTAATACTATCGGGAAATTGACGAATTAATTATTCAGTTTAATTCTTGCGAGTTGAACGGTCACGTTTCATTGGCCGAATGGTGAAACTGTGAGACAATATTATAACAATCCACATGGATCCATACGTTTACGATAGGTCTTCATGAAGAGCATAAACTGGCGGTGACTCAACTCAATTCAATTCAATTTAGTAAAGGATTCCGGATGCTCATCCGTACAAAGTTGGAGAATCCCTCGATACCCTCGTTTACTAAAGTTTTCAGACAAAATACATAGGATGCAAGTTCAGATTGTTTCAGAACTTTAGTGAATGATTGTACATGCAGATGTATTGAACAATTATAATAGACATTTGATCATCCTTGGTGGCAGCAATAATGCCGTAATGATATAATAACAATTATAGCCGATTATAATAGCTACAAGCTACTGTATTCCTCGGAGCACCGCTGCTATTTACTCGTGAATGGTAATATTTCCTTGAAATCGGATAATGGAACCGGAATATAGTAAGTACTCAGCATGAAACTGTCGAGTAATTATGTCTGAGGATGGATTCATGGAGATGAATTGGATTAATTCATTCAAGTCGAGTGCGTTATTACCTAGTTCATCACGCCTAACCAAAACTTGGTTCTTTAATACTATCGGGAAATTGACGAATTCATTATTCAGTTTAATTCTTGCGAGTTGAACGTTCACGTTTCATTGGCCGAATGATGAAGCTATGAAACAATATTATAGCAATCCACATGGATCCACACATTAACCATTTTTCGATAGTTTTTTCATGAAAAACTTCATTTGTGCTAAATTCATCACTAAAAATCCTCGCGATACTCAGTACTAATCAGCACATAATCTTTTTTTTTTTAATTAAGAAGACGGCAACTGCCGTCGATCGAAGAAGCGTGGAATCTGCCGATAAGCGCAGAGATGTCGTCCCGTCAGCAGCAGCAGCAACCGCCCCCGAATACCCCAGGCTACAAATACGCAACGCCACCAGCCGGCCCACCACCTCCCTATCCCCAGAATCAACAGCAGAACATTAATAAGCGCTTCAAGCCTGAGGATCAACTTTCACCAGGAGCTGCCCAGCCTCAGCCCCAGCAGCGTCCACCTCCGTTCTACCTGAATCCCCAACAGCTCCAGATGCTTCAGTTCCTCCAGCAGAATCACGGAAATTTGTCGCCTCAGCAGCAGGCGCATCTCCAGCAATTGCAGTTGCAGTACAGGTCGATGCAGCAGCACCAGCAGCAATTGAGATTACAGCAGCAGGCTGCGCTGCAGCGAGGATTGAGACCAGGTGAGTTGATCTGACTTATTTACATATTTATTTGAGCGATAAGTGAGTTTATTCCAAGTGTAGAGAATTGCAATTTCATGGACAAAAATTCAGTAGTGAAGCGGTAAACCGAGTTAAGTCGATTTTGACTTTTGATCAATTTTTGATGAATATCTCAGAACCTAAGAGAGATAGCAAAATTTTTCTCATGACCTTTTTCGTAGAACCAATTCAGAGCTATAAACCGGTCATGACAAAAATTTTCTATCTCTTTTAGATTCCGAGATATTCGTCAAAAACTGGCCAATAGTCAAAATTGACTTAACCCGGTTTACCGCTTCGCTACTGAATTGTAAAATTTCAAATTTTTCAAGCGTTCCAATGAAATTCTAGATTTTTGAGAATCAGGGAGACGAGGAGGCGTCAACACCAATGCATTTTCAATCCAAATATGAATATTTATCACCAAATTACACTAAATTTCCAATTATTTAATTCAGAAATTCCAATTAATTCAGAAACGCCAGAAAAAACACATTTTTGTGATTAGTACAAACTAAGTTGAAATTAATGTTTAGACTTGTCTTAAGGAGTTGCAAAAATATCGATAACTTTCAACATTAATTTTTTAACAAATTTCGTGTTGAAAGTTATCGGTATTTTTGCAAATCAAAGCACATTAATCTCCAGGAAGCGATGATGAAGATCAATGTGCTTTGGGTTAAAAAAATATCAATAACTTTGAGCAGGAAGTTTCTTCGAAAATTTCGAGGAAACGGTGGCCTTAAGGAGATAAGACGGCGAACTCTCAAATGAAACGATACATTTCGAAATCGCGATATTAATATCTTCGTGACTAGTACAAACTGAGTTGAAATTAAAGATTTTTTTTCAATAAAAAAAAGAAAAAATTGAAACTTGATGGATAGTCGAGTAGTACTTTCACTAGTATTTCCCGACAAGTGATATTAAATTCGATTTAGGACTGAAAAAATCCAGAGAATTTCAACCAATTGAAAAACCAACAGTACATTTCCCCGAATTTTCATGATTTCTCTCAATTTTTATTGAATAACTCAACTGCAATTAACATTGTCCATTGCCTCTCCCCCAGAATTCATGATTTCCCATAAATGAATTTTCATTGTGTCCTAAAATCCTCAACTATAATTCCAATTTCCAATGAATTGGACCCAGTGTTTTCCCAATTAAAAAAACCACTCTCAATTTCCAGGCCAGCCAGGTTTCCCCACGGGTTACGGTCCCCCCCAGCCGCCGCAGCCAGGCGTGATAAAGAGCTACGGCATTCCCCCCCAGCCCCAAGGTGGTACAGTGGCCCTGCAAACGGGTTTCACCGACTCCACCACATCCTACAACACCCCAGCGACGGGAAATGCCCAGTCAACCCCAGGTATGCCGTACAAATCAGCCTCAGACCAGACCTTCCCCCGTCCCCAGTTCTCCACCTACCAATCCAACCAGTACGCAGCCCAGGGCTACACCCAGATCACCTCCACCACGAGTAGCTATCCAGAGGGTGCAGCAGGCAACAAAGACCTCGGAGTAACTGACCAGGAGTTGACAGCACTCCTCTCCCAGAAGGACATAGCCCGCTCCCTGGCTGAGGACCTCCTCAAGCACTTTGGCTCTGAGGACCTTGACCCAAAGCACACCCCGAAGCCCCCAATAATGAACAACGGAACCCTCTCCTCAGGGCCCTTCTCCCCGTCAAACCTGGACGACGATAAAATCAAGGATGTCATCAAAGAGGTCAAGTCCGAGAAGCTGGACCCCTCGGAGAAGCCCTCGACCCCCAAGCCCCACCCCACGGAGACGATAAAGTGCGAGGCAACCTCCAGCACCAACAAGATAGACTCCCGCCCTGAGCCCGTCCTCAAGCTGGAGAGACTCTGCGAAACCCCAGTGGAGCCAGAGTTCTCCATCGACATGAACGCCAAAACAGTGATCGAGACCTGCAGGGGTCAGGGCCTCAAGGGTGTCCCCAACTGCTCGATATTATCGGACAGATCACCACCTCCAGCCCCTCCAGACGCCCCCTCCCAACGTCTGACGAAGGAGCAACTTTCCCCACCAGCGCCAAGTGTCTACCTTGAGAACAAGAAGGACGCCTTCAGTCCCCAGCTCCAGGAGTTCTGTCTGAAGCATCCGATAGCTGTAATCAGGGGTCTGGCAGCTGCTCTCAAGCTCGATCTCGGCCTCTACTCCACGAAGACACTGGTCGAGGCGAATCCAGATCATGGGATTGAGGTGAGGACGCAGATGCAGCAGACGAGCGATGAAAATTGGGATCCAACGCAGGCGAAGAAGGTCTGGGGGTGCATTAGCCACAGGAGTCACACGACAATAGCAAAGTATGCGCAGTATCAGGCGTCCAGCTTTCAGGACAGCCTTCGAGAGGAGCGGGACAAGGCGCAGGGAATACACTCGGCAAATCTCTCTGATTCGGATTCAAAGGATTCGACGGGCGTTGTTAAACGCAAGAAGAATGCCTATGGATTGCCCGGACGACCGGGATCGAAAATGCTGAGATTTGGAACTAATGTTGATCTGTCGGACGAACGTAAGTGGAAGTCTCAGCTACAGGAACTCATGAAACTGCCCGCGTTCGCCAGGGTTGTGTCCGCTGGTAATATGTTGAGTCATGTTGGACATGTTATCTTGGGTATGAACACGGTGCAGTTATACATGAAGGTGCCAGGTAGCAGGACTCCCGGACACCAGGAGAATAATAATTTTTGTTCGATTAATATTAATATTGGACCTGGGGATTGCGAGTGGTTCGCTGTGCCTGATGCCTACTGGGGGGTCATTCAGGCATTGTGCGAGAGGAATAATATTAATTATCTTCATGGGAGCTGGTGGCCGTCTCTCGAGGATCTGTATGAGGAGAACATTCCGGTTTATAGGTGAGGAAAACATTATTTTTATTGGGGTGGTTCTTTCTTGGAACGAGTATTACTTGAGCTAGTTGGCTTTTCATTTTAATAATGAGTTCAGTTACGAAAAATGACCTGGTGAGATTCAAACACACGATCTTCGCATTACCAACTCGTTCTTCTAACCAATTGAGCTATGGGACTTCAGCACAAGTATTACTTGAACTTATTTCAAAAAGATGAGGTTTTACGGTGAATATCAATTATTTCTTCTTGAGATGCATTTACTTGAATCAAATTGAACAGCCAAGGGCTGTTTTATTTGATTCAAGTGAATAATTGATAATATTAAATTGTAAATTGACTGTCGAGCAAATGTTTCTAAATTTCATAACAGGGATTTTCAATTAGCCAAATAACCGTCAATCCTCTGAATTCAATTATTGACTGAATTTTTATTGAATTTGAATTTGAATGGACGTCAATAAATAGAGTTTATCAATCTCTACATTCACAAAGGAATTAATTAAAGTCGATAGATCACTTATAAGGAAATTTAAAAAAACAAAGTGTTTAAAGACCAGAATTTTTTAAAAATCCACATTCGGACTTTTTATACCATATTTAGTTACCCTAATATTTTAATGGAGCGATGACAAAGCTGCCTTCAGAAGCAAAAACACCCTGAAGTATCGATTTGATTGATTTTAATTGATTCGATTGATCCCTTATAAATAAAAATCCTTAAATACGAATGGTTCTCCTGCTCCATAGGTTTGTGCAGAGACCTGGGGATCTCGTGTGGGTGAATGCTGGTTGCGTTCACTGGGTGCAGGCTGTGGGGTGGTGTAATAATATCGCGTGGAACGTGGGCCCGTTGACGGCTAGGCAGTACCAGCTGGCTATCGAGAGGTATGAGTGGAACAAGCTGCAGAGCTTTAAGAGCATTGTACCCATGGTGCATCTCTCGTGGAACCTTGCGAGGAATATCAAAGTGTCGGATCCCAGACTGTTTGAGTTGATTAAGAATTGTCTGCTGAGGACTATGAGGCACTGCTGTTTGATCCTGGAGTTCGTCAAGAACAAGGGGGTCGAGGTGAGGTTTCATGGACGCGGGAAGAACGAGGCTTCCCATTATTGTGGACAGTGTGAGGTGAGTTGGAAGTTTTTTTTATAGGGAGATGGGAATGGATAATTGCATTTTTTTAAACTAGAGAGCTGACCGTTCTGCTCGTCAACTCACATATGACTTACATTTTACCTCCATGATCCTTATTCTGACCCTTGTGACCCTTAATCTGACCCTCGTGACCCTTATTCTGAACATCATGACCCTTATTCGAACCCTCGTGATCCTTATTCTGGCCCTTATGACCTCTAATCAGACCCTTGTGACCCCTAATCTAGTCTTGTGACCCTTATTTTGAACCCCATGACCCTTATTCGAACCCTCGTGATCCTTATTCTGGCCCTTATGACCTCTAATCAGACCCTTGTGACCCCTAATCTAGTCTTGTGACCCTTATTTTGAACCTCATGACCCCTATTCGAACCCTCGTGATCCTCATTCTGCCCCTTATGACCCTTAATCTAGCCCTCGTGAACCTTATTCTGGCCCTTATGACCTCTAATCAGACCCTTGTGACCCCTAATCTAGTCTTGTGACCCTTATTTTGAACCTCATGACCCCTATTCGAACCCTCGTGATCCTCATTCTGCCCCTTATGACCCTTAATCTAGCCCTCGTGAACCTTATTCTGGCCCTTATGACCTCTAATCAGACCCTTGTGACCCCTAATCTAGTCTTGTGACCCTTATTTTGAACCTCATGACCCCTATTCGAACCCTCGTGATCCTCATTCTGCCCCTTATGACCCTTAATCTAGCCCTCGTGAACCTTATTCTGGCCCTTATGACCTCTAATCAGACCCTTGTGACCCCTAATCTAGTCTTGTGACCCTTATTTTGAACCTCATGACCCCTATTCGAACCCTCGTGATCCTCATTCTGCCCCTTATGACCCTTAATCTAGCCCTCGTGAACCTTATTCTGGCCCTTATGACCTCTAATCAGACCCTTGTGACCCCTAATCTAGTCTTGTGACCCTTATTTTGAACCTCATGACCCCTATTCGAACCCTCGTGATCCTCATTCTGCCCCTTATGACCCTTAATCTAGCCCTCGTGAACCTTATTCTGGCCCTTATGACCTCTAATCAGACCCTTGTGACCCCTAATCTAGTCTTGTGACCCTTATTTTGAACCTCATGACCCTTATTCGAACCCTCGTGATCCTTATTCTGGCCCTTATGACCTCTAATCACACCCTTGTGACCCTTAATCTAGTCTTGTGACCCTTATTTTGAACCTCATGACCCCTATTCGAACCCTCGTGATCCTCATTCTGACCCTTATGACCCTTAATCTAGCCCTCGTGAACCTTATTATGAACCTCATGACCCTTATTCGAACCCTCGTGACCCTTGTGACCCTTAATCTAGCCCTCATGACCCTTATTGAAACCTTCGTGATCCCTATTCTGACCCTTATGACTCTTACTCAGACCCTTGTTACCCTTAATCTAGCCCTCGTGACCCTTATTATGAACCTCATAACCCCCATTGCCCAATTTTGAAATTTCAGTGGAAGTATCTCCTTAAAAATATCGAAAACTCGAAAGTACGAGCCGCCCTAAATTCTTAATTATTTTTTTTACAGATCGAAGTCTTCAACATCCTCTTCATCCGAGAACAGGAGAAGCGTCACGTTGTCCACTGCATGGATTGTGCCCGTAAGCAGTCGCCCTCACTGGAGGGTTTCGTATGCCTCGAGGAGTACCGAATGCGTGAGTTGATGGAGGTCTACGACGGTTTCACTCTGCACACGTCAATCTCCCCAGCCCTGGCGGTGGCTCAATCAAGCCAGGCCTCCTGAGGCTACATGCAGCACAGATACCTGGATTACCTGGGGACACTTCAGTGAAACCAACGATCCAACGGGAATTCACCTGGATATCTGTGTTGTGAGAGTGCTTTTGTACAAAAACTTGACTATTTTTTTCGTAAAAATGAACGAAATATTGTTCGGATCCCAGGGGATTCCCAGGACCATTTTGAGCTCGACAATGTCCCTTTTAGTTAGATACATTTGTACAAAAGTTTATTAGCTTAATTAATCAGGACCCGGCTCGAGATTGATGGTCACTCACATCGTTTCGCATTCTCTGGGAACTGAACGTCAGGGGATCTTGAGCGAGAGTTTTATTCGCCGAATGAACGGTGAAGTATTACTCGATAAGGGGAGACTACTATGAGGTTTCAAAGTCGCGGGCCATTTGAGTAAGATTTCGCAGGCATTGAAGATCGATTATGTGTGTCTAAAAACAAATAATTAGTGGAAAAAAAATAATTGTTTGTTGTTCGATTGCTACAGCGGTTTTTTTGTTAACATTTTGGAAATAATGTGTACAATAACAATTAGGAATGAGTTTTTTGAAATTCGACTCCCACGCAGCTAATTTTGTTTTGTTTAATATAAAAATTTTCATCATTCATTGAAAATCGGCAGAAAATTGTCCTTTAAATATTTAAAACGTATTCTCATTTCTTTCGGAATGAATGAATTGAGTAATTATTTAAAAAATTACGAAATTAGTTGTGTAGGAGTTGAATTTAAAGGAAGTAATTCGTAATTGTTATCGCACATATTTTTAAAAAAATTGGAGGCTCTGAGGTATTTTTAACATTTTCAACAATTCATTTTTTTGCAGTAATTATTCGTTTTTAAACATATATAATCGATCTTCAGTGGCTGAGAAATTTTATTCCAATAGCCCGCGACTTTTAAAACTCACAGTTGAAAGTAGTCCCTTAATTCAATTAAGAGACAGTAAGGGTTAATCAGTTTTCGGTTAGTTTTACTGTCAACTGTGAATAATTTACGTATTTGTGGTCGTGATGATTTTTGTGCAAATTTATTGCTCAATGAGTGAGAGAATTCTGATGAGGGGTGGTCAGAGAAGGGTGGAACGAGGCTTTTCGTAAATATATCAGAATCCCAGGCAGATGGTGAATTAAAAAAAATTAGATTCAGTTATTTATGAAGCACTGAATCGTAAAACGAAGATTGAATGTCACATTTAGACATCAGTTTTAAAATGGCTTAGAATTTAAAGTAGAACCTTTTTTTTCGTAAAGTGATCCTAATTTATAAAAAAATGCTCTCCTCTGAATTCTGAGGTACAAAAGTGTCTCTCGAAAATTTTGCAGTCTTATTTGGGTATAGAAATATTGGAAAAAAACGAAATCATGAAATAAAAACGTAAATTTCACTCTGGAAAATCAATTTTTTTCAATCAGTTCCTGCTGATCTCTTTAAAAACAAAATTTTTTGGGAGAAATCTCCATTAAAATTAAATGTTTACAGAAACAAAAATACAAAAAAAAAATTTTGTTATTTTCTTTAGATTGTGAACATTTCTTTCATTTATTCAATTTCGTAGACATTTAATAGCGACTAAATCACAAAACAAAAACGTAAATTTCACTACTTTTATGTATTGTATTATCCAAAGAGGCAAAAATTCTAGAGCAAAATTTTTAGAGTGTAATCAGCTACAAAAAAGTCTGTACAAAAAGTTTACTGTCCCCCCCTGGATCTAGAAATATTCATGAAGAACCGTGCCATCACTTCTCCGCCGAAATCTGGGATAAATTAGTTCAGATGAAGGACTTTTATAGTAAAATTGAGAATATTCGGTGGTAATTTTGGCACTCATGTGCTGCTTTAGCTACCTGTAATCGACCAGAAATGATGTTTTTAGTCTGTGTCCCTCGAGGATCTAATTTCGAGGATGCAGGAGCTATTTTAGGCTCTGAGGAATCGAAGAGAGATATTTTTACAGTGTTTGATATCTAAGAATGCACTCGTTTTCGTACATGGGAGACAGTAGATCAATGAGGTTCTAGTGATTTTTGAGGTGTGAAAACTGTGAAATTGCATTTTTCATAATTTTTAGAAGAATAAAATCACGAGAAAACGATAATTTCACATTTTTTTCATCTTCAATTAATTAAACAGATCAAGACCATTTTATTTCGCATAATAAACACCAATCGAACTGCAATTGTGATGAGAATCGAGAAATGATTGAGATCATTTCATTAAGATAGACAAATTAGTCAGTAATTAAACGTTTGTAAAGACGCGCTGAACAGATCATAAAAGAATTTTTATATTTGAGGAAAGATTGATGGTAAAGTTGAGTGGACCCGCAGCAAGCTATGATCTCAAATGCACGAACATTGGCAGGTAAATGCATAATTAGGTCGTTTTTTAATGTTAAGAACATCCCCACACACATACACCTGTCAATGGATTCGGAACTGATTTGACAACTTGAGTAATTTCGTTGAGTATGTAATGTAATAAATATTGAAATTATATTTAAATGCAAACGTTAGAGTTTTAGGTAATGAAATTGATTATTACGATTTAATGAATATTTAATTTCTTTCTTTTTTTGCTCGATTATTTGGGAGTAAGACAACTCTTCTCTGGTTGTTCGAGGATTTATTTCGAGTTTTTGGGGAGTTGAGATTGAGATTTCTGGAGTTTAGTTGAAAATGTGAGGATGATTTGATGGGGATGCCCTATTTTAAACTATTAATTCTTGAGATGTAAAAAGTTGTTTTCGCAATATTATTGAAAGTGTGATTTTATATTATTAAGCAAACGTCTCGTCACAGCGTTTACTAGAATCTTTTTGTGGAAATTTTTGGAGAACATCAACAATTATCTAAAAAACAAGTGGTTTTATAGAAAAATTTTGGGAAACATTTCTTGCTGGAAATCTCATTCTCTACAAAGAATTAAATTTCCAACAAGACATTCTGTAGGTGTGATTTTTTAAATTAGAGAATAATTCTTTCTCCAATTCAAAAAATTATCGGACAAAATTCAAAGAATTCTTGAGTTTAAAATTTGAAGACACAATTTATGTTGGAAATTGGGTTCTCCACAAAAAACACTTGCTCATTTAGAATTAGAATAGCGAATTATGTGGATGTAATTTTTTTATAGGAATGGTTGGAGACAGTAAGAATTCTTTAATTATTTTGACAACTACTGGGTTCAGTAAGGAATGTCTGAAGAATTTTCTCCTTAAAAATTTAATTTTTCATTAAAAAATTTCCCTCGATTTTCTATTTTAATTCACTTGGTAATTGTTGTTTTTTATGAGACAATGGTGAGGGTGCATCAACAGTTCTCCAATCCAAAATCTCAAGAGATAATTTTTGTTGAAAATCAGAATTGGAGACACTAATAATTTTTTAATTCTTGTGATAACAAGTGGTTTTAGTGAGAAAAATATGGAAAATATTTAGTGGAGATTTGAAAACACTGGGGAACATTACTTGGATGTGATTTTTTATATGAATTCTTCGAAACATCAATAATTCTTTAATTATCTTGATAAACAGTAGTTTGAGTAAGAAATATCACAAGAATTTTTTCCTCAAAAATGTAATTTCTCATTTAAAAAATCGCCTTCGATTTTTAATTTGGAATCACTCAGTAATTAGATAATTCAGCAAGCTCATCATCAAGTCTCCAAATATCACGATAACAATTGGTTTTACGAAAAAAGTCGAGACATTTTTCATTTAATTTCATGAGCCTCTTCAAATTTCCACTAAAATTCCAGAATAATCTCGACTCCAAAAGCTCTCCCTTCGTGATCGTAACACTACCAAGTAGTTCATGCTAGCCACCTCAACCTCCAACAAAAAAAAAGTGTACAGCCACCAAAACTCGAAAAAAAAGCATTACGAGAATGCAAGTCTCGTGGAATGGCATATTTTGATACCAAAAAAGCCCAATGAGGTTCAAAGACGAGAAAATTAGAAGCCAAGTCTGGGAGTAAAATAAAAGAAACATATTTTCGCTAACGACTGTACGAACAATTGAATCTCATCAGCTCCCCTTCGCCTACGAGAACCGTAGACTGAAGAGGGCGGAATAATCTATAGATAAAAAGAAAAATTATTTTTCACCGAATGAGGAAATATACATTCCCATATTTTCGAATTCACTCAATTAACTAATATAGATGAAACTAGCAGGGCCCTAGAGAGAACCTCACACTTGTAACCGAAATCGATGAACAAAATAATCACGAAGCTAAGAATAATTACCATGAGTAAGCGAGAATAAAAAGGAAACAACACTGCCAAATTGTGATACACGAGTTTTTCCCAGCTAGAAGAGAGAAAAAGAAAGAGACAATTTTATAATGGGAGGAGCAACCCTGGAGTCTGATCCAGTGACATCCTGAGCATTGAGCAATTATCCTAGTTACCAAGACGTGTTTATGACCCCCACAATTGAAATAAAGAATTAAGAGCAATGCCGGATGCGTCGGGGACAGCTCCAGGGGTTAAAAATGTTCTTGAAGAATATTTGAGGATATTTGAGTGAAAAACAGCATTTCTGGGATTTTTCTTGATCTAAAAATCGACGAATTCGGATCGACTGAACGTAATTAAGTTTCAGAAATTGTCGAGAAAAATTCTCAGAGAAGTGAATTTAACAAAAAAATTCAACTTTTTTTCGTTAGAATCACTCGTTAACGAGATTATCACAAAATCATGTAGAATTTTTAATAAAAATCATCGACTCACATATCGAATGTTGAAATCATGTCGATAACAAGTCATTTCAGCAGAAAAAGTGTTGAACTCTCGTATAAAATTGAATTATTATTCACCTCTGCATGAGAAAATCCACGAAAATGATTTTTCACTTGAGTGTCCTCAACAAAACAAGAGTTAATACCCAAAAAAGAAGCAACTGAATAAAGAAAAACACTAAAAAATGCCTGGAATATTTTTCAAGACCACGTTTTACTGTTTTCGATTGAACAATTGAATTAAACAATTGAAAAAAAAAACAAATCAGTACTTTTCATATAACTCTTGACAGCCCTCGGGCTCTTTTATGTATATAATGTTCATGTGTACAGTGCCTTTATACATAAGAGAACAACTGAAATGAAGATTTTTATGACAAACCAACTCGATCCTACGAATATATAAATAATGAAAATCGTCGATTATCTTCATTTTTATCAAATAAAAGTAATAAAAGTTTTGCATTACGTCTCAATTCAAGATAATTCGTGTAAATTAATACTTGAATTTATTGTGAAACTGTACAGTAGATTATTTAAGATGATAAAACTGCACTGTAGCTAGCCTTATTAATACCATTAGTGACGCTAATTGATTAATTAATTATTACAATTAATTCTCCATTCGTGGATGAAAGAGAAATTTTTTCTTTTTTTTTATTGAGTTTTCTCGATTGCCGAGGGGAGATTGTGGAGATCTATTATTGCAATTAATATTGTGTTTTACCATTACGATGTAATATAACGGTTAAAGCTCATTAGTTGCTTATTGATTTTTATTTTATTCTTTCATGATTATCTTCATTGCAGATTCATCGGAATTATCACGTTTTCTCATCAATCTTGATGATTATTTCATTCTGTTTTATTTTTTTATTTTAAAATTATTGATTCACACTCATTAACTGTACTATTCTATGAGTTACTAACTATTCAATTGATTTATGTACATTTTTAGTCATTTTTCAATCAAGGAGATTTAATCTTTTTGATTGGAAAATTCTTCGGCATTTTATTTACAAAACATAAACGAAACTAAATTTTCAATACCTTTATTTTGGTGAATATCTCGGAATCTAGGGGAAATAGCGCAGTTTTCGTTTAGAGCTTTTTTGTAGATCTGTTTCTGCTCTACAAAAAAGGTATGAATGAAAATTTCGCTAGCTCCCATCGGTTCCAAGATTTTCATCAAAATCTCACCTGAAGTGAAGTAGTAAACACAATAAGTCATTCTCACTTTTGAACATCAGTATTTTGAAAATATCTCGAGATCCAGGGGAGATAGCGAGAAATCCAACTGAACGTTTTTTGTAGATCTATTTCCGCTCTACAAAAAAGGTTTGAATGAAAATTTCGCTATCTCCCATCGATTCCAAGATATTTAGCAGAAACCAATTTTCGAATTCAATTCACCTCATTTCATTCCTCCAACATTAAAGTCAGTTTTTGTCAAATATCTCCAGATCCACGAGAGATAGCGAAAAATCCAACTGGGCGTTTTTTGTAGCTCTGCTCTCGCCCCACAAAAAAGTTTCTCACAAAAATTGCGCCGTCTCCCATAGACTTCGAGATATCAACGAAAAACTGCCCTCAACTTTGATTTTCTTCTCTCCATCCCAATTATTTTTCCAATTATCATCATTCTCTCAACTAATAATCAATTTATGTTCTCGTGATTAATGACATTTGTTTTCTCCTCGCTTGCACAACCCCATAAACAACAGCAGCCAGACTTCTGCAGCTGCTGCGGCCCCTCGGCGCTCCCTCGGGCTGGAGTGTATCCCTCCCCAACACGAAATAAGTCTCCATGGTGCCTTTTCCCTTGACCTCGATCATCCCACGTTTCTGGGTCTGATAACCTTGGGATTCCAAGAACTTGGCAGTGTCCTTGGGCACTTGGATCTTGCCCATTACTCCGGTGGAGTCCATCCTCGAGGCCTCGTTGACTGTGTTACCCCAGATATCGTAGACTGGCTTGCGAGCACCGATTACCCCACCCACGAGGGGACCACAGCTGATGCCCACTCGAAGGTCGAAGTTGTTGAAGGAATGAACGTTCACGTCCTCTAGGCGGAGACGCATCGCCACCGCGTAGTCCACTAGTCTGCAGAGGTGGTCTCTGTCGTCTTTCGATTGATCCTGCGGTCGAGGAGAGAATAATCGTACGTTGAAATTTTCATCACATATTGGCAGAGAAATGTCAATGATTTCGTTACTAAAAATTCGAAATTTAAGCGGAAAACTGATTGAAACTGTAAATTTTTGTTCAGTTATTCTGGAAGAATTAATAATAATATATTCTTGAATTTTCAATTAATTTAACGTTCAGCGCAATTTGATACTGAATATTCATGTTTTTATTGAAAATTGAAAAGAATTGGGAAATTATTTTATTTCATACAACTTATTCTATTGAACATTTCACTGGAATTAGTCAACAACTGTTAAAACTTTTAAATATTAAACAATTAAAAGTTTTAATAGTTTAATATTTAAAAGTTTTATAAACTATTCAATTTCTTTTGTGTGATTTATATCATCTTATAGCTCCACTGAAATTTCAAACAATTTCGCCACTAAAAATTCAACAGTCGGTGGAAAAATCAATAAATCCGTAAATTAAAAGTTTAATCGAAAATTGAATTTGTTTTGTTCATCATGGGAATATTGAAAATCGCTAATAAATAATTAATATAATTACACTTTGACGCGGATTGAGACCGGATGCAGCCATGTAAGTAGCGCCAACAGTCTTGATTTTCTCGATGCAATGGAACGGAGGCTCGTCAAGAAGTTCATCGAAATCCGCTGCAGAAGGAAAATATTTCGTTAAAATAAAAAGAATGAGTGTTTTTAACGGCGAACGTCAAGATATTTTTCATAGAGAATTCTAGAGAAATCCAATAGAATTTTCCAACGAATGAGTCGGGTTTTCTATGAAAATTTGTCGTTCGTGTCGTCCTACCAATTATTTCATTCAGCAATCTGATGCACTCCATCCCTTTATTAACATCTTCAGAGTAAAATTCTGTGAAATTAGGGACGCTGGCGAACATCACCCCCACTCTTTCCCTCTGCTGAGAGTACAATTCCTGCAGAAACACAGAAATGAAAAATATTTCCGAAAACCCAAATTAAGAAATAAATTAAGGAATAGAGAACTGACGAACAGGGATGGCCATTAATATTATATTTCTTCAATCTTAAAAGAATTTGCCACTTAGATTGATGAATGTTTCGATATACTCATCAAAATTTTAAAATAAGATAATATTAATACTTTAAATTTCCGATTGATTGATGATAAATATATGATAATATACGCTGAGAGAAAAACGACAAAGTTCTCAAACAAAAAAAATTTTTTAATTAAATTTTAAAATTTTTTTTTTCATTTTTTTGTGCCAAGAAAATAGTTTTTTGAAAATTATAAAAAAAAAATTTTTTTTTGTGCCAAACATGCAGAGAGTGCGCCGGAATGAAAATTTTTTATCGCAAAAATAGATTTAGTAGTTCAAAAAAAATTGCACTCTCTGTACCCGCAAGAAATGTCATTTCTAGCACTACTCCTTCGTTATTCGATACTCCCATACGTATTTTGCTCCCGAAAAATCTTTGTTTTATGCGAAACAAGGGATAGTAGTTTTTCGTTTCGGCTGTCTAATAATCACAGACAACAAATGAACCCTTAAATGAAACAATAATAATGATATGAAAGCAATCTTGTAACTTAGGGATAAAATATTTAGTGATCAATATTCCTCTGTATGAGATATTTTCATCCTGAAAAGGCACCGTCTGGTGTGAATTATCCGCCTCTTGAGCCAAATATTTCGTTGCTGTCGAAAGCAGAACAATTATTCATGTTTGAAACTTTCAAATTCGACCCAAACAAATTCTTTTTTGGCAATTTTCAACTAGCGATTTTGTTGGCCCAAACAAGACTTGTTTGACGTGTTTGTTTTTCTCTAGAACTAAATTTTCCATTGAGATATTTTAATTTTCTCAAAAGGGATTATCGATTAACCAAATAATCGGCAATCTTCCTCCCTAAACTATTGACTAATAAAATAGTTAAAATTTGAATATTCAAATTGATTATTTGAATAATTAAAAGTTTAAGAATGACGGTAACCAATTGATCTCTTCAAAATTTAATGATTTCATGGCAATTATCATTTATGAATACGGCTATCCCTCTTCACGAATGGAATTAACAATCGCGCACCTCCGGGGGACGTTCAGCAGTCAAGAAATGATGTGCGACATGATCAGGCAGGATATTCTTCAGCAACTGCATATTATTGTGCTTTGACTCGACCATGTCCCCCAGTTCCCTCTCAGCCTGTTGCTTCCACAGGAAGTCAAGCCTCGAGGTCACCTCCACTAGTCTTCCGTGGTACGTCACGACCACCAGGAAGACAACTAAAAGTATCAGCATCTGCGCGGAGAGAGGAATCGCAGCTCTGAAACCCAGAAATCGAAAGCTGGAGTAATGTTGAATTCAATGAAGTACATGATCATAGAAATTTCATTCGAAAGCAAATGGCTTATTTATTAGCAAAAATATTAATATTGTCTATACTGTGACGACAACAATTTTTCGAATAATGAAACAATACCCATAAATTCAATTCCTATTCTCACATTTTCATAGAACACAAAAAAATATCAAAGAATTCAAATCGGCGATGAAAAATTTTATCGGATTATTATTATTATTATTATTATTATTATTATTATTAATTGAGAAATAATAAGCATAGCTGGTATACATCTCATTCCAGTCTGAGAAACTCTGTGCTTTAGTGATATTTTATACAAAATATCAAGATATAACATCGTCAACGATTTATAATACATATGACATGAGCAAAAAAATTAAAGAAAAAAAAAATCAAATTCGTTGACTTTTTCGATCAAAATGAATTGATATAAAACAAAAAAATCTAAAACTTGAATGAGAACAATTCCAAAGTTTCCAAACGTAAGAAAAAAAAATAGCAAACTCACTCATCACTGTCCTCAGGTGTCATGAAGAGTTCCTCATGCCAGAAGAGAATGAGAATGGCGTACATGAGTACAATCATGGAAGCCAGAGCAGTCTTGACGAGATAATAGAGTTTCAAAGCCGACGCTAGAGCAATCAGGCACAGAATCCATGTGAAAACAATGTATTCAGGTTGAAGACAGCTCCTCCACTCGTTGACTCCTCCTTCAGAGGCATTTTCCCCTGCCTCGAGGGTGGAGAAGGTTCTCCTGGATCTGAAGGGGCCCTCGTGCCTCGGCACGAACCTCCTGTAGTGCCTCTTGGGTCCGGGATGCGTCTCGTACCGATAAAACCTGAAGAGAGATCGACAAGAAGATAATTTCCATTATTAATATTTCATTATCATGTCAGTGGTCAATGAAAAAAATTCAATTGTGATTTAATGGTACCAATTTTATTTTTCATTGCGATACTAATGAGAAATGAAAATGAAAGAAATAATTTATCAATCAATAACCAGTGGAAAATGAAAAACAGAAAATCCTGAATTCTTTCGAAATGAATAACGGAAATAAATTCATTTTTCATTATCATTTAATTATCGTAGTGATTATATCCTTTGACGTCACAAAATGTGAAACACTGAATAAACTGTCTTCCTAATTGCAAATTTTTTGTTCATTGACAATTTTAATTCGCCCTCTCATTTTAGCTCTTCCCTAAAAATGTTTTTGATTTGATTACTGATTGAATGACTATTCTAAAATACTCAAATGTAATTTATGATCAGATAAATAATAGTTTTTTATTGTCAATTATTACTCAGTGAGACGATATTTAAAAAATAGGAATTTCTCAATACTCAAAAAATATTTTTAATACTTAATATTAATATTAAATATTTGACATTTAATATTTTTTCTACTTTTTAATACTTTGTGACTCATGTAATCAATAATGAAAACTGAAATATTTTCATTATTGATTACATAAGTATTAAAAATATTTTTAATATGATTACTGATTGAATGACTATTCTAAAATACCCAACTGTAATTTCTGATCAGATAAATAATAGTTTTTTACTGTTAATTATTACTCATTGGGGCGATATTAAAAAAATATGAATTTCTCAAAACTCAAAAAGATTTTTAATACTTAATATTAATATTAAATATTTGATATTTAATATTTTTTATACTTTTTAATACTTTGTGACTCATGTAATCAATAATCAAAATATTTCAGTTTTCATTATTGATTACATAAGTATTAAAAATATTTTTGATTTGATTACTGTAACTATTTTAAAATACTCAAATGTAATTTCTGATCAGATAAATAATATTTTTTTATTGTTAATTATTACTCATATAGACGATATTTAAAAAATATGAATTTCTCAATACTCAAAAATATTTTTAATACTTAATATTAATATTAAATATTTGATATTTAATATTTTTTACACTTTTTAATACTTTGTGATGTAATTAATAATGAAAATATTTCAGTTTTCATTATTGATGAAAACTGAAATATTTTCATTATTGATTACATAAGTATTAAAAATATTTTTGATTTAATTACTGATTGAACGACTATTCTAAAATACTCAAATGTAATTTCTGATCAGATAAATAATAGTTTTTTACTGTTAATTATTACTCACTGAGACGGTATTCACAAAATATGAATTTCTCAATACTCATTCATAACCCAATGAAAAATATTTACACGTTATTTGTGATTAGACAAAAAAAAGGTATTTGCGGTGAAAACATTGGTGAAAATAATATTTCCGATTTCTGAACCTGAATGTCTCCCTTCTTCTCTGGCTCAAGACGGCATTATCGTCGTCCTTCACTCCCAGGGATGAGTTCAATGATCTCGGAGGCTCCCTCAGGACTTCAGGACTCGGCTCGTCGTCCAGAGCAGCCTCCAGGAACTTGACGATGAGACCACTGAGAGCTGGGGGGGCAGTGGTGCCTTCTAACGCCTCCGGAGACACTTCTGTGGGTCTCACACGCAATTCGCTGATGATGGGGAGGTCTGGGGGTGGGTAACGTCCCGAGGGACATGCCAGCACTCCCACGACGGAGGTCATCGCCATCAGCATGATCAGACTGCAAGTGAACAACGTCCTGTGCATTTTGTTGAGGACCAGCATCGAGGAGGCGTGCTTCAGGTACTCAGGCAGGGTCTTGAATTCCTCTGCCATCACTAGGATGGAACACGCGATGAAGACCAGGGACGTGAAGAGGAGTGATCCCCAGAGGATTATGCAGCTGGAAGGCAAAGAATTTCATTAGAGGCAAATGCTCGTTTGAAAAGAATTATCAGATACAGAATCAACAGATTATTCGCTTTAAAAAAATCCAGTCTAACGATTTTTTAAGCCTGTTCCGCTTATCAAGTAATGTAATATGATGTCCATGTATATTTTTTTATGCACTGCAATTTTTTGTTTGCAGTAATTGTAAAAAAAGAGAAATTTATTTTTTACTGTAACGAAAAAATACATATATAAGATAATACACATGTATCTAACTATATTATAATAATCCAAATGGACTTCTGGTGATAAAAATTTGATACTGGGAATTGAGATACCAAATTGAGGATCACAAGGGTCAGATTAAGGGTCTATGTAAGGGCCACAAGGATCATATTGAGGGTCACCAGAGTCAAAATAAGTGAAGGTCGTGAGGGTCGGAATAAGGTTCACGGTAGTCAAAATAAGCGCCATGAGGGTCAGAATAAGGGTCGCGAGGGTCAGAATAAGGGTCACGAGGGTCAATATAAGGGTTACGAGGGTTATAATGAGGGTCAGATTAAGGTTCAAAAAGATCAAATTAAGGGTCCAAAAATGATCATAAGGGTCAGACCCTTATTTAACGGTCACAAGGGTCTAAATAAGGGTCTCAATATATCTCTCTATATTATAAAAATCCAAATTGACTTGTGGTGATGAAAATTTGGGTCACAAGGGTCGGATTCAGGGTTCAAATAAGGGTAACAAGGGTCAGATTAAGGGTCACCAGATTCAAAATAAGTGCGAAGGTCTTGAGGGTCGGAATAAGGTTCACAGAGGTCAAAATAAGGGTCACTAGGGTCAGAGTAAGCGTCATGAGAGACAGAATAAGGGTCACGGGGGTGAGATTAACGGTCACAAAGACAGATTAAGAGTCATGAGGGTCTAAATAAGGGTCACGAGGGTTATAATGAGGGTCAGATTAAGAATTCAAATAAGGGTCAGATTAAGGATCAAAACGGTCAAATTGAGGGTCCAAAATGGATCATAAGGGTCAGACCCTTATCTAACGGTCACAAGGGTCAAAATAAGGGTCTCAATATCTCTCTAGATTACGAAAATCCAAATTGACTTTTGATGATGAAAATTTGGGGTACAAGAGTCATATTAAGAGTCACAAGGGTCAGAATAAGGATCATGACGGTCATATGGGGATCATATGAATTAGCAAAGGTGAAGCTTAAATTGCAGAGCTCATTTTAATCATTACGAATTATCGGTTGGGGATTTTTCTTGGGTTTCGTCTTACTCTGAAACAATTACTGCCTGACAAACAGCGATGAATATCCATATGACGAAGCAGCAGGTCATGTTGGATTTGAACATGTCCTCTCGAAGCTGTCCGAATTTAGATTCGAGGCTGTCGTCGTTGTAGCGCAAGGTCCATGGGTTTATGTTTGCCAATCTCATTCGCCTGTTGCTCGCTGTTTCGTAGCCACCTGGTCGCTTCTCACCACCACCTTCCTCATCCTCGTCGTCCTCCAGGTATTCAGTCTCAAGATTGCTCATGGAGTTGGCACTATTCAACTGTTGGATTATTCATAGTGAGAGAGATGAGTGAAAGCATTTTACATTTTTCTGAATACGATCAATGCCCCCGTTATTGGCGCCCTCAAGGGTCTCAAATTATTTTTTGGAATTATCAGTTGGAAATTTATCGATAATACACGGATGAAAAATTTCAATAGAAAACCTAGCCAATTATAGAATTGGCTATTATAATAATATTAAAATATTACGTAGTTCTATAGAGGACTATATAATATTATAATATAATAAACAATAAGATGTATTTTAATAATAATAATTTTATTTTAAAAATATATATTTTTTATATTTTATGGAGTTTTTTATCGGATTTCTATTGGATATTCGATAAGAAAAAGTCAATAGATTTCGAATTTCTGTTTGAATTTTTCTCGTCAGATTTTTTCTATTAGAATGCTTGGGCATCAATATTCCAAGTTTTTTCCACTTGGATTCTGTAATGCAAAACAAAACGAAATCCAGCGGAAAAAACTTGGAAAATTTGTGACCAATAATTCTAATAGAAAAAATCTCAAGAGAAAAATTCGAACAGATATTCAAAATATATTGACTTTTTCCTATTAAATGTGCAATAGAATCAGCGCAAAAAATCAGTAGAATTTTTCAATAGAATTCCAATAGAAATACTATAGACACCCATTTTCTAGCGAATTCGCTAGGTTTTCTATTTCTAATTTTCTCATGCGTGTAAGGAACGAATTGTTCTAATGCAAAGAGAATTCATTACCCTCCGTGTGATAGTAAGATTTATCGCAATTGGACAGTGAGAAATATTTTGCATTTAATTATGAAGCGTCCAAGATCTCCTAAAAAGTGACAACTACTGGGACACACCCTTTTCTCCTCATGTGCCCCTTTCTGTCATGCGCTTTTGTAACATAATTCCATAATTCCAAAGAATTTTCTCCTGTTTTCATGCCCCTTCATCCCCAGATTCATTAATTCAGTAGCGAAGTGGCCAAACGGTTTAAGTCAATTTATTCCTTAGTTGAGTTTTCCAGAAATATTTCCGAATGCAAGGGAGATAGCGAAATTTTCATAACGACCTTTTTTGTAGAGCGAATTGAGTGCTACTAAAAAGGTTATGAGAAAAATTTTGCTATCTCCCTTAGATTTCGAGATATTCATTGAAAACAGACCAATAGCCAAAATCGACTTGAACCGTTTGACCACTTCGCTACTGAATTTTCTGACTGCAAATTCATTTACATTTTCAAACGGAATTTCCGGGATCCAATCGACCCCCACGTCCTCCTCATCCTTAGAAGTATTCGTGCTGTTACATGTCGACGACAATGGGTTCGACAGTTTGAAGCTCTTTTTCGATTTATTCCCAGTCTCATCCTCAGACCAGACTTTGGGCTTCGCTGAGGGTCTCCGCCTGGACCTCAGGGGCTCAAGCTGTTTGATCAAGTAAGTGACGACTTTCCGATCCTTCAAGTAGTTGTCCCTGTCCATACCATTCCCAGGCTCCACATCGTACACCTCATTCAGACACGCCAGGGTGTCAGCCGATATGTGAACTCGACTATGGACAGGGGAAATAACGACAGACATGGTAAAATTGAAATCTAGAAGTTGGTGACTTGGCAAATATTCATTTTGTCACATTCAACTCTACCATTCGTTAATATAGTAATTCACAAGTCTTCTCAACAGTAAATTGAGGGTTCTATCTCTGTATTCTGGGAAATCTACTCACGACATTGACTCTTCACAGAGACAAATGAGTTTGGATTTTCATGACGTGTCACTGATTTCTGGAGACATGTCACTGATTTTTAGGAATTAATTATCAGTGATTTTTATTAAGAAAGTAGAATCATTCTATTCTCCTCTGACCAAATGATTTGAACAATATTCATTTTGTCACATTTAACTCTACCATTCGTTAATATAGTAATTCACAAGTCTTCTCAACAGTAAATTGAGGGTTCTATCTGTGTATTCTGGGAAATCTACTCACGAAATTGACTCTTCACAGAGACAAATGAGTTTGGATTTTCATGACGTGTTACTGATTTCTGGAGACATGTCACTGATTTTTAGGGATTAATTATCAGTGATTTTTATTAAGAAAGTAGAATCATTCTATTCTCCTCTGACCAAATGATTCGGACAATATTCATTTTGTCACATTTAACTCTACCATTCGTTAATATATTAATTCACAAGTCTTTTCAACAGTAAATTGAGGGTTCTATCTGTGTATTCTGGGAAATCTACTCACGAAATTGACTCTTCACAGAAACAAATGAGTTTTGATTTTCATGACGTGTCACTGATTTCTGGAGACATGTCACTGATTTTTAGGAATTAATTATCAGTGATTTTTATTAAGAAAGTAGAATTGACCAAATGATTTGGACAATTATGATTCGTTTATTCATGTTTCACAGAATGGTATTCAATTTAGAAAGAATGGGGAAGCCCCTACTGATACGACAGTTGGACTGAGGAAAAAGAGGAACGGAGAGACAGAATCGGTCCGTTCCAATCATCCAATGCCACCAGTGGTCCTTCTCAAATCTCCAATAATTTGGGATAAATTCCTGAAAATCAGTGACATGTCCCTAAAAATGAAAACTTTTATTTTCTCTGTGTTCGTTCCACAAATTCTATGGCTACCATTCTAAAGGTATTCTTTTTTGTGGGATACCTGTCGTCTCCAGCTGTTCCTCATAAAAGGCTCAATAGAATAATTAATCAGCTACTGGGAGACTAACTACAAAGGTTTAAATAGAATACCTTCACATGAAACATCGAAAACTCCGAAATTCCCCGACATCTTGAAAATAACATAGAGAAACACCGGAATTGAGAGAAGGAAATAATGAATTTTTTATACCCGGGAATCCCCCCGCTTTCTAAGTGATTGGCGAGGGTGACGTCATAGCTCCACACGTCGAACTGCCACTTCCGGAGGCCCAGGACTCCACACAATACCGAACCGCTGTGGATTCCAATCCTCATGTCCAAATCCACCTGGAAAGTTCATTAATTTGATTAATTAAAATATTAATGCGAATGTATCTAGGGACTAAAGATTGAATTTTTTGTTGAACTTCTGTCGAAAATTCTATTCCAGTTCCAAAATGTCCAATTGGAACTATTTTATGAGGGAGAGTGGGGTAAAACGGCCCCTTTTGACTTTTTGTGTGATACTCATAACTCAGAAACAAATTCATTAATTGAGATCAGTCTGGGCTCATTCTAAAGGGGAAGAAGGGGAATCATTCCATTTTATTTAAAATCGAATGAGTTGTTAACATTTTTGAAAAAATCAAAAGGGGCCGTTTTACCCCACTCTCCCCCGAATAAATCAGTTGAATTTCATTTTTCTGCAAAACTTTTTGCTATTCACTTTCTATAGAATTTCCTCGACATGAATTTCCGATTTTTTCCACTCTATTTTCCAATTTATCTTCTCTTTTCACAAAAAAAATTAAACAAGAAAACTTGGAAAGTTTTAGCCGAGGAATTTCTATAGAAAATACCTCAGTAGAATAAGTTTTACTGAAAAATTGAACTAATGGAAAGTTTAACAGAAATCCAATCGAATCGTCTAGCGAATGCGCTAGGTGTTTCATCGCCGGTTGATCGTTAAATTTTTTCATACGTGAAAATATCGATAACCACAGCTGCGATCATGGAGAAAATTTGAGATGTGCTGAGATGCAAATGAAAATTGTTACTGGACCAATTTGTTATCCGCAACATGATAGAATAGTTTGGCAATACCTTCTGAGCATATCGAACATCCCTGATGGCCTTGATCATCTCGAGGCCCATCTCGACGCAGCAGTGGGCATGATCGCTCCTCGCTGTTGGCAGCCCCGAGACGCAGTAGTAGCAGTCCCCGAGGAGTTTAATCCTCAAGCAATGGTTCTCAGAGGAGAGCTTGTCGAAACGCGCGAAGAGGCTGTTGAGGACCTTCACGAGCTCTTGCGCACTGCATTGACTTGCCAGTGCTAATTAACAAAGGTAATTGTCATTGTCGCTCAAATTGTCCAATTTGTTTTCATTCCATTTTGGAAAAAATTTTCAACTGAAACTTTAAACTTAAAAAATTGTTTTTTAAAATTTTCTTTACGAAAGAAAGAAAGTTTAAGTTTCTGTAAGAAAGTTTTTGTTTAACTTTCTTTTCAGAAAGTTTAACTTTCTGTAAGGAAGTTTTTGTTTAACTTTCTTTTCAGAAAGTTTAACTTCCTGTAAGAAAGTTTTTGTTCAACTTTTTTTTGTTTACTGAAATTGTCCGGTGAATTCGCTAAATGTTTCTATTAAATTTTTTCACACGTGTACCCCCAAAAATAAAAAATAATGAATGCCCAAGCATTTGCAAGAATATCACGATTCCCTCGCGCATGCAAAATACTTTCCAAAAATTTCGTAACAGCTCAGCGCAACTCTTGCCTCCTCTCAACCGCGAAAATTCCGCAGTTCTACAACTCAAAACACTCTCAACGTATCACGAGAGAGACAGATGAGTGGCTGTGGATGTGTAGAGTATACTGAGGTTTATTTTCAGATACGACACGTTTTTGCTAATGTCACAGTGGCATGAGTGATGTGTACTTTGGCGAGTGCACAACATCAACGTCAGAACAGTTGTTCCATTTGTGTGGATAAGAATCAGCTGATGAACATTGTAGAAAAACCAGTGAGAATCTCATTGCACATAAAAACCTAGCGAATTCGATAGAAAATTTGAAATTGAAATTGAAATATTCAGTAGAAAAAGTCAATAGAATTCGATTTTTCTATAGAATTCTGTTCAGATATTTTCTATAGAATTAACTCGGCTTAAATTTTCCAAGTTTTTCTCATTCTATTTGTTTTTTCTCCTCATCAAGAAAATCAATCAAAAAAACTAGAATACTTTTAAAATATCTCAATAGAATAAGTCGTATAGAAAATTGAGTTCTATTGATTTTTTTCTATAGAATTTTCCATTGCACATTTCTGATGAAAAAACATAAGCTGTGGAATTTTTCTACAGAATCGACCGAAAACTGATGGACATTTCTGTAGAAATTCAACAGAATTTTTTAGCGAATTCGTTAGAAAATTCTATTGGATTTCTATTAAACTTTTTATTAGCTGTTGGCCGATTCTATTGAAAAATTCAATAGAAAAAGTCAATAGAATTCGATTTTTCTATATAATTCTGGTCGGATATTTTCTATAGAGTTTACTCAGCTTAAATTTGACAAAAATCAAAGAAAAGAACTTTGTAAAATATAATATTTAAATAGAATAAATTGTCTAGAACAATAGAAATCCATTGATTTTTCCCGTAGAATCAGTGAATAACTACTAGATTCCAATAAAACTTCTATACAATTAATTATTACTAGTAATTTTATTATATTATACTAATTTATTTTATTGTTTTCTTTCCAATTTTTCTTTGCAGTCAGATTGAATTAAATTTATTGGATTCCATTCCCATTGTAGTATACAAATTGTGGGAACAGTTTTTCTCATTTTCAAATGAAGAGATTTATGATAAATAATAAGGAGAGCATTGATACTGTTTCTGGGGATGATGATAGATTCGCAAGAAAATAAAAATTTCGATTTTTCAATGTCTCCGGAAAGTTTTAAAATTGATATATTTTTTCAAATAATGAAAGAATACCCATCAATGCAATTTCTATCCTCACATTTTGATAGAACACATAAAAAAAATAGCAAAGAATAAAAATCGGAGTTGAAAAATTTTATCGGATTAATATAATGTGATTAACACATTCCTCAATTTGAGGAATCCCGAGCACTTCAATTTTTTTCATTACGTCTTTTCAATCTTAGAAAAAATAAATAAATAAATACAACGCTTCCATTCGGAAGCAAAAGAATTTTAAAAAATGATGAAGAATACAATACATTTTTCAATAGAATTTTCTAGCGAATTCACTAGGTTTTTCAAAGAAATTTTTCCGCCCGCGAAGAAATATTAAAGTTACCTGTAAACCCTTTGATATCAGCGAACAAAATGCTGACATTCTCGTATCTATGCAGATAAATCCTGTGAAATTGATTGGGAGTGAACGAGAAAGTTCCCCCACTCGCAGTCTCCCTGGCAATATCCCTGATCATCTCCTTCGCTACAAAATCTGGAAGAACTGAAAAAAAGTGGATAATTGCATTTTTTATAAATGAGTATAAATATTGTCTACAGCACTTGCTTCCCAATATGCTATTTTTTGTGTGTAAAACTTATTAAAGTTTATATCCGAGATCGAGATCAGAACAAGCATCAATTTTAAAATGAGTTTTCAATTACCAAATTAATCATCAATCAAATATTCACATTCCGAAATTGCATTTTTTATAAATGAGTATAAATATTGTCTACAGCACTTGCTTCCCAATATGCTATTTTTTGTGTGTAAAACTTATTAGAGTTTAGATCCGAGATCGAGATCAGAACAAGCATCAATTTTAAAATGAGTTTTCAATTACCAAATTAATCATCAATCAAATATTCACATTCCGAAACAATCTATTGACCAGTAATCGGGTCAGAAGTTTGACCATTACACGTGTAATTGAAAAATCCTTTTATGAAATTTAGAATTATTTACTCAATGGTTAATAGAAAATTCAAATTACGAATTATTTAAGGCCCGATTGTACCATCTTTCGAGTGTTATCTTGATTTTTTTCATCTTTCGTAATCCACAATTGTCAATTGAGTGGTACATTATGTAGAAATTCCCCAAAATTATGATAGAATGATTTTAAAAAAACGAAAAAATTTTGAACTTTTTCAAAGAGCGTTTTTAATTGAGATTTTAAATGAGTTGAAAAAAGTGAAAATTACAAATATCTGATTCGCTGTGGCAAATTATCTATTAACTGTCATTTTCCATGGTGGATACAAAACACCAATTATGATAGAATTATGATAGAAACAAAAATTATGATAGAATGATAACAAAAAATAGAAAAAATTCTGAACTTTTTCAAAGAGCGTTTTTAATTGAGATTTTAAATGAGTTGAAAAAAGTGAAAATTACAAATATCTGATTCGCTGTGGCAAATTATCTATTAACTGTCATTTTCCATGGTGGATAACAAAACACTAACTCCTCATGGGAAGTGACAGCTAGGTATCTCAATTTTCAAAACAGTGGTATGTAGTCATCTGTCATTTTTATGTGATAAAAGTGTGATTAAAAAATTCTCCAAAATATTACAACTTTTTTCAGAGCCTTTTCCGTAATAAATGTCTCTGTGCAGTGTGGGAAAAGATTTACGAAATCAGTCCTCCCCCTGCATGATATTGGGTGACAGCCCACCATTTGTCACCGTAAATCAGATACATTTTTCAATTTCTTGTTATTCAACTTATTCTGAATATAAATTAAAAATGCTCTTTGAAAAAATTAAGAATTTTTTCTACTTTTTTTATTATTCATTCATAATTTTTCAAAACTTGACTCAATTGACAATTTCAGATTACGAAAGGTGAAAAAAAACATCGAGATAACGTTCGAAAGATAGTACACCCGGGCCTTAAATGTGAACGATTTCAAAATTTCCGTTCGGAAGCAAAATCACGGGAATTCTCCGTTTGACACAATTTCTTTGTCCTCCTCCAATAAAGCTATCTCGTTATTTCATCTGAGAATTGAAAATCGATCGTTTTATTAATAAAACATGGGGATGATGGGGTGTTGGTGGACGAGGAGAGTAAATCGGCTGTGAATGCCTCGATTGACCCTTTTAACACTCGGATGAGTGAAGTTCTCGGGCCAGTGAGTTTCTCCCATGAAGAATTTATGTGTATGTGACAATTACGTTATTTGCGAAAATTAAAAATTCGACTGCAAATTTATTTTTTCGGTTCACCACGTCGACCCGAACGATCGATAATTTCGATCCTGTCGATGCGAATGACAGGTTTTGTTGGAGATTTTTTCTGCAATATTTCCTGCGAGATATTCTTTCCATTTTATTTATTATTTTTCCGAGATGAATGAGAGAATAGAGACTGTTGTTACCGGAAAGTAAAAGTTTCTCCTGTCGATTATTCTCGTTCTGAGTCCTCTGTCTCGTTTCCATGGACCTGTGTGTCTCGAGGAAGGCCTGACGTTGACCTCTATCAGTCAGATACTTGGTGTACATCCCCACGAGGTTCACAGCGACGTAGAGAAGGATATTTGTTGTTAACATTCGAAGGATGCACATTAAATCTTGAAGCTAAAAACGTTGTTTTTGTAAATTTTTTAATTATCTCGGTAACGTTGTTATTCTTTACTGGTTATATCCCTTTTATAAAAAGAAAAGTAAATTTATTATCTGGGTAATGAGGAGTTTTGGAGGAAAACACGCATAATAAAATGTTTACAGAAAAACTTTGGAAATTAACTGCAAATTCTATTGGATTTTCTATTAAAAATTCTAATTTTTAAATTTTAAATTATAATTTTTTTATGTTTTTGATTGATTCTGTTCAACGATTCAGTAGCTTTACTAATGGAAAAGCATCTTTAATGAAAAATCTCCAATAGAAAGAATTTTATGAAGAAAATGTGTTGAATTTCATCTTTTTGTACAAATTTTTTATTGAGACATTTTCTACAGGAATTCCTCGACATGAATTTTCTTAGAGAAATTCCTATTTTCCACTATGTTTATTCGCTTTTCATTAAACAAAAATTGAGCAAAAGAACTTGGAAAATTTAAGCAGAGGAATTTCTATGGAAAATATTTCAATAGGATAAGTCACATAGAAAAATCGAATTCTATCGATTTTGTATATAGAATATTTTCCATTGAACATTTCCTATTGCAAGAAAAACACACAGTAAATCTATGGAAGTCTTCAATACAATCTCCAATAGAATTGAACTTCCTTTGGGAATTCTAGAAGTTTCTGAAGGATTTTGCTGAAGATTTCCGCATCTTTACTGACCTTTTTTTTCAACAGAGAAGGTTCTCTGACATTTTTCACAAAATGAGAGTGGAGCAAAATGAAACCCCGGAAAAACGACAATTCAGTACAATTCAGGAAACCGTTTTGTTTCCTTTTTCGTTGAGGATTGAGGGGGTTAAAGTAGAGTGATCAGAAATGGTCATTTGACCCTTATCGCTACACGTCTTCAAGGGTCGTTTGACCCTTGCGACCCTTGGCCCTCAACTAAAAACAAAAAACAAAGTCTCCTGAATTGTGTTAAGCAGTCATTTTTCCTGATGCTTAATCTCGCCGAAAACACCAAAGCCGAAGCCCCCTGAACAATTTCTCTCGAATTCTCCTTCAAACTCACATGTTTCTGATTCAAAAAAATAGTCGCAATGGTCATAATCATATGCGTCAGGACGGTTCCAGACCCAGCGACGACGCACCACCTCAACGGCAGTGGGAGCATAGCATAAGGTGCATAAACAACAAAAAGAATGTACCACATCATCCTCTGTTGTGAATAGAAATTCAGTCCAGCAACAACGAAACCTGAAGATCATGAACAAAATGTAGCGATGAGGATTGACAAATGAGCCAGTGACAACTGGAATTGTAAAAATATAATGACAAATGGAATGAAGAGACTAACGAGCCAGTTTTCATTTATTTTAGTCTCAAGGCAACTTCCTCAGTGGATAACGTATTTTTGGGATTTTTCGTCTAGTTATTGAGGCGAATGAGTGAGATAGGGCTTTTATGTTTAATCAGAGATGCTTGAATTCTTCTGGTTGAATGATGTGGGGCCACTGACCTTGAGTGTTTATTAACAGCCAGGTAAATATAGATGCCCAGTAGAGGTAATTGTTGGAGAACCAACGCCACAGGCCTAGGATGCAGACGACTAAGTTTGCCAGCATGCAGCATGACACCCAGGACAGGGTTTCTATCAGGCCACTGCTCTTTTCCGTTCTTCGGGATATCCATATTGATATCAAGGCTATCTGAAAGGTCGGGGGAACGGGGACATGTGTTTGGATTAGTTTTTTGAGATGCTGTTGCCGTGATTTTGTGGTTGGTGTTGTTAAATGTGGAATTATCTCGGTGATCAGTCAGTTTAGGGGAAAGTGGCATATGGCATTTTTTGTGAGAAATTTTACATGCTGCAAAAATAGCTTTTGAGATTTCCCTGTAAAGTGAGTAAGTTTTTAAATAATTGCACAAATTAACTTCTTCAGAATTTAAAATTTTTTTTGATTTTTGTTTCGTAGAAAAATGTCGGAAAACATTTCTTGTGAGATGTTTCGTTGGCTACAAAAAAAATCTATGACGTTTTCGTGTAAAATAGTTTTTGAAATAATCGCATAAATGCATTCTTTGAGAATTTCCTCAGCTTTAAATAACTTCTTGTGATATTTTTTCAGAAATTATTATTTTCTTAAATTATTGCAAGCATGTATTTTTGAGAATATTTAAATTTTCCTTCTTTCAATTCTGTTGAATATTTTATTCTTAAATTTTATGAACTAAAAAAATCATGTGATGTTTTCTTCTAGAAGGCATTATTTCCGAGATAATTGCACAGTTAGCAATTGTGTTTTTTTTTATAAATGCTAGATTATCATTGAATTTTATAACGGTTGAAGGCTGCATAGTCTAATCAGTGAAATAACAAAAATAACAAATGAATAGTTCTGGATCTAGTGGAGATACCGAAACTTTTGTAAAGACGTTTTTCACGGCTTTTCTTCTCCTTTACAAAAAGGTCTTATCAAAAATTTTCATATCTCCATTAGACTTTGAGCAATCCTTGAAAAATTGATTGTAAAGAGGAGCTGACGTACCTTCAATCCAAGATCAACTACATTCAACATGATTAATGACTTTTGCCTCTGACGACTCGAATATTGAAAATAAGATTTTTCTAAACTGGGGCTGTGAAAACTGGTGGTCAACGATGGACAAAAAATTCCTTTGTACAACAGGCCCTTCTTAAATACATCTGAAATACAAGCAATACTCGTGATAATAATAATAACTGTGGGAAAACATTTAATAGATAAACCTAGCGCTTTCTCTGAGAAATTTTCTTGAATTTTTGTTGGAATTCTGTTAGAACTCCATTGTAATTCGATGAAAAATTGTATTTGTTTTTTTGCACTCATTTATTTCCGCAATTTTTTCAATAGAAATATTCGATGGAAAATATTCTACAGAAAAAATCAAGAGCTCGATTCTATGGTACAATTTATTCTATTCTGATTTTTTCTACAGAAATTCCTCGACTCAAATTTTATAAATTTATTTGTTTGATTTTTTTTCTATAAAATTGTTTCTATTGGATTTTTTAAATAAAAATACGCGCCGTAAAGTTGCGAAATTCGAAAAAAAGTTCAATTCTATTGAAGATGTTATTGAGGAATCTTTTTTCAGCAGGAAATGTTCAGTTGTAATACCCCGAGACCTTGAAACTGATCGGATAATGATTTTGCGTGTTGTCGGGGAAATTATCAGGGCGAAACGTGTCACGTGACCCCGAATACTGCACTCTGGTTGGCCGAAATTAAAATCGAGAAAATTATCAAAAGAAAATCGACGTGAAGGCGTCACGTAAAAATTATTCTGCAGAAAAAATTGATAAAATTCGATTGTTTTATCGAATTTATTCCATCGAGATTAGTCAAATCAAATTTTCCAAGTTTTTTGTTTAATTATTTGAATGAAGAGAGAAGCGACTTCATGTTGAATTCCTACAAAAAATGTCTCAACAGAAAAACTTCTATAAAAAGATGAAATTCTACTGATTTTTTTCTCTGAAACTATTGGACAACTTCTACAAAAAAAAAAACGCGCAGTAGAGTTGCGGAACTCCAATAGAATCCGTCGAAAACTCCCAGAATTTTCGGTAGAAGTTCAATGGAACTTTGATACAATTTTCTAGGGAATTCGCGTCGATTATTCGTGCCCATTAATGAGATTACGAGGTTCATGATACCTGGTTGAACCGGTGGCTCCTCGTCCTTTTCATGTTTCTCCTCGAGGACAACTTCCTGGGGCGCAACAACTATTGTTATTTCACCCTGCGGCTCCTCTTCCTCAATATCCGGTAGATCTGAATCCTCCTGGGGTCGAGCCGCCGCCGCTAAATTACCCCATGCTGCTAGACCCTCTCGACCGAGCCTCTCCGACGTCAGTTTCTTCACCGCTTTGATCCATAAATGTTTCGTCGGCGTTATCCGTAATCTACAGTTTTCATGAAAAATGTTAAGTAATTTTTATCCTTTTCAGGGGATACGTCGGTGAAATTAAAAAATTTAAATTAAATATTTTTCTCCGAAATTAAGGGTCGCAAGGGCCATAAGGGTCAGAATAAGGGTCATGAGGGTTAGAATAAGGGTCTCGATAAGGGCCACAAGAATCAAATTTTTGGCGATTAAATTGCAATAATTTTTGCTCGAAATTAAGACTCCGAAATTGATGGTCATGAGGGTCAGAATAAGGGTTATGAGGGTCCAAATGAGGGTCATGAGGGTTAGAATAAGGGTCTCGATAAGGGCCACAAGAATCAAATTTTTGGCGATTAAATTGCAATAATTTTTGCTCGAAATTAAGACTCTGAAATTGATGGTCATGAGGGTCAGAATAAGGGTTATGAGGGTCATGAGGGTTAGAATAAGGGTCTCGATAAGGGCCACAAGAGTCTAAATAAGGGGATCAAAAATCAAGGGTCAGAAACTAAAGGTCACCAAGGTCAAAATAAGGTTCACGAGGGTTATAATGAGGGTGAGATTATGGATCCAAATGAGGGTGACAATAAGGGTCAGATTAAGGGTCTCAATATCTCTCTATATTGTACAAATCCAACTCAATTTTTGGCGATTAAAATTTGGTGCTCGAAATTAAGACTCCGAAATTGATGGTCATGAGGGTCTAAATAAGGGTCATGAGGGTTAGAATAAAGGTCTTGATAAGGGCCACAAGAGTCAAATTAAAGGTCACAAGGGTCCGAATAAGGAACGTGGGGGTCAAAAATCAAAGGTCAGAAACTAAAGGTCACCAAGGTCAAAATAAGGTTCACGAGGTTTATAATGAGGGTAAGATTAAGGATCCAAATGAGGGTGAAAAGGGTCAGATTAAGGGTCTCAGTATCTCTTTATATTGTAAAAATCCAAATCAACTTTTGGCGATTAAAATTTGATGCTCGATATTAAGACTCTGAAATTAATGGCCACAGGGGTTATGAGGGTCAGAATAAGGGTTACGAGGGTCTAAATAAGGGTCATGAGGGTTAGAATAAGGGTCTCGATAAGGGCCACAAGGGTCAAATTCAAGGTTACAAGGGTCAAAATAAGGTTCACGAGGGTTTTAATAAGGATGAGATTGAGGATCCAAATGAGGTCACAAGGGTCAGAATAAGGATCATGGGGGTCATATGGGGGTTGACGAGCGGAGCGAGCAGGGGGCGCAGCCCCTAGTCCATAAAATAGTTTCCATTTGTCGTTTTCTATTGAAAAAACGCGCGGAACTCTTCAATAGAATTTCAAAAACTAACAGAATATTCAACCGAAATCAGAATTTTGCCCCCAAATTCTCCAGCATTGTCTATAAAATTATTTCGCACCTCATAAACGACAATGTCCCCTCATAAACAGATAATCACCCGTTGAATAATGACTCCCTCTTCCATAAACACATAAACCAAACACCCATTACTCGACATTAATTACTCACTCATTGCAGCTTGGTACGTCGGGTTCCAGCATCATGGTCCACGTCTGTTCTGTAATCATTATCTCTCGATGACGATAATGTCCCTTGTACCCCACAAATTCCTCTCAATTTAGTATCCGTAATTTATGAAAATAAATTTTGCTCCTCTACTCAGTGCCTCCCTCACATTGCCATTAATAATTTGGCAACTATTGAACAACGAGACATAATCTCCCGTCTCGATGGCTCAACTCTCTCGGATGGATTTATATCGAATTAATAAAATCTTCTCGTTACAATTTTCACCTGGAATTAACGGAGAATTTTGATCGCAGGACTGTTGTGTGGCACACCATATCCAATATCTGTTTTACTTTGTCACGAAATTGTCCTTGCTCGTTACTTCATGACCGTTGTGAATGCCGAGTGTAATGAAGCAACAAGTCGACGAGTTCAGTGACATTCGAAGCAACACCAATTCAGCCACAGAAGCCCAAGCATTTCTATTATTTTTTTATCTTTCTCGTCAATTAAATCATTTTTTCATTTACTGATTAGTCTGATTATTATGCTCATCCAATTGCCATTTATCCAATGAGATATCCCCGATGATGCAGACAATCCGCTGGATTTGTCTCGCTAAAACTTTAAATCCTCGGATATTCGTTATTAGTGATATGGGTTTTAGTCAATTGGGAGGATTAATTTTCTCCTGTTTTTGGAGATTTTTTTTTTGTGAATTGGGGACAGGGTTGGTTACTCGCCTCTTGGTTTACCTTTTTAACCGATCGACACTCGACGACTAACTCGGGAGGACACTTTGAAAGGTACCGGCCGGCCCGCTCTCATCATTTACGTCACGCATTCGCTCTATCCCCTCTACCGTTGTTTTTTATTCTTGTGTTACTTTTTTAATCGCTGATGGGTGGGGGGGAAATCACAGTGACTCGAGTTTTTCCTCATTTCGTTTCGAGTCATTGGGTGAGGATGGTTCGAATCGGGGTGAGGGGGAGGGGGGGGGGCTAGTTTATTGCTGGGAGAAAATGAGAATTTAAAAATTTATCACACACTTGGGCCAATTTCCTGTTTAAAAGTTTTTCATTCGTGGGATTTCTTCATTGCTGGTGGGTGTTCGGGAAATATTTGTGTTGAAGGTTTAATAGTGCTTGGAATTTTGTTGTTTTTTTTGGTTGAGGTAATTAGGGGCGCAAGGGGGGAGGAGGGAGTTTTCGTTTTTTTTCATCTGTTGGGTGTGTTGGCAAAATAATGCTGTTTGAGGTTTTTTAATTTCATTTTAGATAATTGGGTCAAGGCTGTTTTTTTATTTTATTAGTTTAAAGTATAGAACCCGTGTCTGAGTTATTTACACTGGCGGTAACATTCATATATTTGGTTTTTACGTCGATTTCTCTCTATATTATGAAAATCCAAATCGACTGTATTCTGGTGATGAAAATTTGGTACTCGGAATTGAGACTCCACAATTGAGGGTCACAAGGGTCAAAATAAGGGTCACGAGAGCCAGGGTCAGGGCCATGAGGGTCAGAATAAGGGCCACGAGGATCAAAATAAAAGTCTCGAGGGTCACGAGAGTCACAGGGATAAGAGTAAGGGTCATGAGGGTCCGAATCAGGGTCATGAGGGTCAGAATAAGGCTTATGAGAATCAAAATCAGGGTATAAGGGTCAGAATAAAGATCATGGGGTTCAGAATCATGATCCTGAGGTCATGAGGGTCAGAATAAGGGTTACGAGGTTCAGAATCAGGGTATAAGGGTCAGAATAAGGGTATAAGGGTCAGAATAAGGATCACGAGGTTCAGAATCAGGGTCATGAGGGTCAGAATAAGGTTTATGAGAATCAAAATCAGGGTATAAGGGTCAGAATAAAGATCATGGGGTTCAGAATCATGATCCTGAGGTCATGAGGGTCACAATAAGGGTTACGAGGTTCAGAATCAGGGTATAAGGGTCAGAATAAGGATCACGAGGTTCAGAATCAGGGTCATGAGGGTCAGAATAAGGGTTATGAGGTTCAGAATCGGGGTATAAGGGTCAGAATAAGGATCGCGAGGTTCAGAATCAGGGTATAAGGGTCCGAATAAGGATCACGAGGTTCAAAATCAGGGTCACGAAGTCAGCTTAAGGATGATAGGGGTCATATGGAGAGGTTACACTTGGTAAAGAATTTGTCTACCAGCAGTAGAGTTAGCCAAGAGTTTCCTATTTTTTATAGAGAATTTCATGGACTACAAAGCAGGTAATCTTGACATTTTCACTCAGACCACTAGTCTTCAACACATCAATAACAAAAAATCAGACTTCAAATTTTTTAAAATCCGAGCTACAAAATAAGTTCTTCAATATTTTTCTATCAACCTCATAGTTGTGGAGATATTCACAAAATAATAAGAACTCAATAGTTCGTCTGTAGACGAGTTCAAAGATTGCATGCAAATTATTTTGTGAATATCTCTGAAGCTATTGGATTTACATGAGAAAAGACCTATTTTGTGGCCCTCGATATTCCCCACAAAAAATGTCTCCCAATTCTTTCCTCGAAACCTAGTTTCCAAGATATTTCTAAAAATAATATCCAAAAAATTTTCAAACTAATCTCATTTCTCCACTGCCTCCAAATTTCAGTCCTCACGAATCGTATTAACGATTTTTCTTCAACGTGAAAGCCCTCTGAATATTCTCCCTTCATGTTGAGTTTTCACTCCATCAGAAAAACTAATACAATTATCTTTCACACTCCAGAAATAACGAAAACGTTTTTTTTCGTTTCTAAACTGATTTATTAAACTATTATATCATTTTACAGTGCACTTAAAGGTTTCTTCCTACTCCTAGAAACTATCACTAGTACTTAATTCATAATATTTATGTTAACTTTTTCTCCGTAAAAAATGGGCTTTTAGAATCGTCAATTGAATCCAACAAAAACTCGAAGTAATCTCAAAATTTTCTAATTTTTCCTTAGAGAAAGTCGTAATTACTCGTTAATTATTGAATTAAGTCAAAAAGTTGAAAAGTCTTAGACGTTTTTGGTAGAAATTTTCTCACGAAAAAAAAATCTCCATATTTTTCTCCGAAATCGTTCGTTCAGCAGATAATCAGGTGATTAATAACACCAAAAAGTTTAGAGAATTTCATAATTTATCCTGCTAATTATGAAATTGTCTGAATTGAATTGTTGACAATGAGTTATTTTACGAGAAAATGTCGGGAGACTTCTTTTATTGAAAATGTTTTCACTAATAAAGTGTCTTAATGATTTCCTCTAAATCAGTTCGCTTAGGAAATAATTAACTGATTGATGAATGATTTGCGAGACTTATTCTACAGTTTCAGTGCTGAATTTCGTATTTAATAAATAAACAATGCCTCGAAGAGAATTACCCAAGGTCTTGACTATTACAAGCAGTCTTATTTTACTATTTTAAGGCGACACTAACGAGAAGATTAATTAATAATGGCGTTGATTAATCGAGAATTGAAGAATAAAAACGTAAAAAACTCGAATTCCTCATTGATAATTGTTAATTTTGCATTTATCTCGGAAACCATTGGATTTAGGCGAAAATATCAGAAGAAGTTTTTTGTGGAGAATTAAATTTCCAGCAGAAAATATCTTGTGGCTTTTTTCTCTAAAATGATTCCTTATCGAGATAATTTGAAAATTAACCGAAAGTGGAAAATCGATTTTCTACGTTTCATGAGTTCTGTCAGTTTTCCACTGAATTCAGATTTAAAAAAAAATAGGAAAGCTTTTTGCTAGGCTCTTCCGCACGTTTAGAGGAATGATTGTTTAATTCTAGTGTCTAGAGTTGATAAATTAATGGAAATAAATATCTTCTGTCCAAGGATGTAGCTTAGGGTGCCTCTGGAAGAGCCCGTCGCTCGTCGATGAGAACTTTGTGGATGTAGATGTCCCGATCCTCCAGGGTGACATCAATCAATTCCAAGCCCAGGATTGTACTGGACGGAGTGGAATTATCGTGCTCTAATCGCTTGATGACGGATACGAAGTTCTTGTTCACGACTAATTTTTGGAATTGTAAGCATGTTGGGAGAGACCAATCCCCGCTTATTGGCTGAATACCTGAATTGGCCGATAAAGAAAATATTCATTAATTGTTTCATTATTTCAATCTAAACAAATATTAAGGATGCAGCAGAATTGTCAATGCGTGAAGTGAGGAAAAGAAGAAAATCAACGAAATAAAGAAAAATAAAGAAAATATAATGCAATTATTGAAATTCCACATTTTATTTTTTTAGATTTATCTAGAATGAGAAATTTCACGAGAAAATTTCAAAATAATTTTTTTTACAGCTTTTTCAATTCTCTAACAAAAAATGTCTTAATAGTTCCTCCTAAATTTCTCTATTGCCGAAACAATTTCGTATTCAAGAAAGAAAGATCCACTAGAATGATTCAAATTCAACGTCTCCATTTTGAGATTTATCTCAAGAATAAAAATTACCGAGAATTTCTAACAAAAAAGATGAAAATGTCCATATTCCCTCCCAAATCTTCTCATTACTGAAATAATTACGTACTGAATAAAGAAAAATAAAATGTAATAATTCAAATTCAACATTTTTGTTTCTTGCTTTGCTCAGAGGAAGAAAATATCCACAAGACATGCCAAGGAAAGGATTACGCTTGAGAAAAGTTGATCCAATAATTTAGAAGATGATGAACAAAGAATAGAATAGAGAACCAGACTTTGGGCTTACCAACTAGCCTAGCCTTAATAGCTTGATACGGTAGATCGAAGAATTCTCTTTTGAGTGGTTGCACCTGACTCAATGTGACGACATTGATGTTCCCAAAGTCGCACAGATGCACAGACACCGATTGTTCATCCAATATTCGATTAATACATGCACTGAAAATAATTTTTCAGCTTCAATTTTTCATGCAAAATGTCCAAATTCCAATCGACCTCTCCAAATTTACAAAATTTGAAAGATTAAATTCCAAATTCCCCTCCCAAAGTTTGAACTTCCACCAATTTCATTTTATTGTGAAGTGTTTCTGTGCTTGATCAGCCATTCTCCATAGACAAAGTTGATGAAAAATTGTGTCCGAGAGATTGTTAGAGTTATTTGGCTTTATTGATGACTCACCGATACCAATATCCATCGTAATTCTTCACAGCATAAACCCTCCCCTTTTCTAGCTCGTTGATCGTCTCTTTGGGTACGTCAACGGTCTTGTAAGCTTCCTGGAGAGCCTCCATCATTGCCTGGAATGAAAATAATTTAATAATTAATTACAATGCAACCGTTAACAATTAAACAACCGAAAATCACTGGCGAAGCTGCCAGTTGATTCTGACTTCGGGCAGTTTTTAATGAATACTTTGAAATTTAAGGGCGAATCAAATCAACAGAATAATTGCAAATTACTTCAAATTAACAAAATAATTACTGAAATGAACAGAATGAGAGAAATTCACACATTGATTTTTTATCAGTTTACCGTAACATGTGAAAAACTTTTTCGTGTGGAGAATTAGAATTCGCAACAAAAAAAATTGATTTATCATTTTCTCCTAAAATCCTAATTATCAAGATAATCGCAAAAATCAACAAAATAAAAGAGAGAATGACCATGGATTCAATTTTTTTATTGTCGCTAAGAAACTCGTTATTGATACAACTTTAAATAAATAAACAAAAAAATTTATCTTCCTTAATTTTTGAATTACCTCGTTAACGATTAGTTTTATAATAAAATGTAATTTGACATTTTCTCCGACAATATCCCACGACAAAGATAATTAAAAAACCCAAAATCATAAAAAGGGGAACAATTGACCAGTTTAATTTCTCATAAAGATTGATTTTAATATAAAATTCATCAGGAGGCATTTTTTGTGAAGAATTAAAATTTTAATCAATCAATAAACAACAAATGTGATGTAATATTAGACCAGAAATAGAAAATAAATCGGAGAAAAATCCCCGAACTCAATATTTTATTCTCCTCAATTTTTCAAATACATCCTTAACGATTAGTTTTATAAATAATTGTCAAAAAAAGTAATCCAACACTTTCTCAAAAAATCTTCCACGACCAACATAATTAAAGCCCCAAAATCATAAAAAAGGGAGAAATCGAACAATTTAATTGTCATTCCACCTCTTCCCCCTTCAAAAAACCAAAAAAATTCACCTCAAGTTTGGGTTTCTCCTCAAACGGTTGTACGACGAAATTCCCAGGGCTAGGCACGAGATTAGTGACCCTGACATTGAAGAATTCTCCAACTCCCGGAATCTTCGGTCCCTTGAGTCCCTTCAGTGAGTCATCACTGCTCTTGCTCCCCCTCCTCTCCAGCCTCTTCCTCCTGACGTTATTGTTCCCATCCCCACACTTGATGATCTCAGGCTCCAGATCCAAAGTATTATTGATCGAAATCAGCAGGTTCTCAGGCTGAGACCTCTTGAACAACTCGACAACAGCAGCTCTCCCAAACACTGGCTCCTGGACGACTTTGCAGAGTATAACATCCCCAGGACCAGCGAGCTCCCTCAGCCTGCAGCCCACCCTCTCACTGAACCTCGTCCTCCCAAGATTATTCATCTCCACTTTGATGGCCTGTGCTGGGAACCTTGCAAGAGGGTCAGAGAGCTCCTTCAGTCTGAGCACCTTCCCCAGGTCGACCTCCACACGTTCTCCAGAGTCAATGGTCCTCAGGGAATGATCCTGGGCACTGGGGGACACCTGGACCCTCACCCAGTCGCCATCAGGCTTCTGGGCGAGGTAAACCTCCGCAGGATCCAGCTGTCCCTTCACCATGGCATTGCTCAGGAGTCCCTCGTCCTCCATGACTCCCTCCAGAAGACCATTCAGCATACTTGTGAGGATCGCCATGCCATCGTTCTTCACCTATAAAGAATAAATTGGTTCGCGAAGGATTGAGAAATTATTCTGAATTGAAAATGAGGAATTTAAAATTAAGGAAACAGAGAAAATTAAGGACGTTTTTGGTAATTATGTCAGTTACTTGTGGCTTCAGGAGGAAATGTTTGAAGTTTGCGGAGAATTTAGTAGCGAAGTGGCAAAACGGTTTAAGTCGACTCATCTCCCAGTTGAGTTTTTGAGGAATATTTTCGAATCTAAGCGAGATAGCGAAATTTTCGTAATTATATTTGTTGTAGCACTCGGTCGGCTCTACAAAGAAGGTTATAACAGCAATTTTGCTATCTGCCTTAGATTCCGAGATATTCATTGAAAACTGGTCCATTGTCAAAATCGACTTGTACTGTCTTACCACTTCGCTACTGAATTAATTTTTTTTTACAAAAATTCCAATAAAAAAGAAGAGAATCGCCATGTCACCGTTCTTCACTTATGGACAAGAAATTGGTTCATGAAGGATTGAGAAATTATTTTAAATCGTAAAATGAGGAAATTAAAATTAAGGAAATGGAGGAAATTGACGTTTTTGAAGTTTTTGGTAATTATGTCGGTAACTTGTGGCTTCAGGAGGAAATGTTTGAGGTTTGTGAAGAATTAAATTTCCAATGAAAAATATCTTTTGATGTTTTATGGATTTTTGTAGTTATTCAATGTTTAAAAAGTGGAAAATCAATGAGGTAAATTAAAAATTCTTGCTTTTGAAATTCATTTCGAGAGATTTTACGAGAAAATGCAATTGTTGAAATTCAACATTTTTGTTTTTGAGATTTATCTATAATCAAAAGTTCCACCAACAAATTTCCTTTGGTATTTTTTCAATCATTCAATCTTTTAAAAGAAGTAGAAAACTGATAATTCAGGTCTAAAATTCTTGTTTTGGAAATTTTTAGCAGAAAATGTCAATAACCTTTATTAAAACTGCTGATATTTCCCCCAACCCTTTTCATTATCGAAATGATTTCGTATTTTATGAAAAAAAAATTGAAAAGAATGAAAAATTTTACGAAAAAATTTTAAAAAACTCATTCTGTATAGCTTTCAATTCCCAACCAAATCTGCCACATTTCAAAAAAAATGTTTAAAAAGAACGAGAAACTAGACAAATCAAAATTGACATTTTTGTTGCAAAACCCCCCCTCAAGGGCACCCAAATGCCACAATTCCTTACCTGCAGGTAAACATCTCCATTCTGCTCGATGTGTGAAACAAACACCTCCAGCAATTTCCCCTTGACAGCAACCTGCGCCTCGGGCTTCGACAGCTCCATAACGTGGTGCAGCTCCAGTGAAATCTTCTCATTAACATTGACATCAGTCTCACTGTTGGTGTCATAGAAAACTCCCACCACCACGTGGCTGAGTTCATCATAATCTCGATTCAAGACTTGCATGTAGAAAGTCTTGCCGAGAAGATGTTTCTCAGCGATTTCAGTGGTTGTATCGCACACTGCGATCTCTTCCAGGGAAGAGAGGCAGGCCCTGATGGCCTGCGGTGGCACCTCGAGGAATTTTTTGTCGAGTGGAAAGAGCCTGGAGGGATCCACAACGTCGTTGTCACCAGTGTCCACGAAGAAGATCTCGGCGTCGCCTGTCAGGGGGTCCAGGGCTTCCACTCTGACCCTGTGGACCTCGTCGTTGACCTTCGTGACGTAGTGGTTGAGGATGACGACTGAGGGTGCCGACTCGGTGATGGAGGAGTAGTGGGCGTTGAGCTGATGCGACATCTCGTAGAATTTCTCGTTGTACTCGTCCTCGAGAAGACGTATCCAGACATCTGAGGTGGAGGAGACGTGGGAGACGTACACTGGCCAGAGGGTGCTCGAGGGCAACAGCAGGGGGATGGGGGTCTCCGAGGGGGGCTTCAGGAGGGGGCGCTCGCGCTTCGGGGAGAGCGGAGGGGTTTTCATCTGAAATAAGAGATTAGGGGATTATCAGACGATGGAGTTGATGGAGTGGTGGAATTATTCTAGAATGTACACAGAGGAATTGTTCGTTCGAATTGAATAGATGTGGTTCACTGCGAATGAAAAAATTCAATAGAAACCTAGGGAATTCTCTAAAAAATTCTATTGGAATTCTCTGGGGCTTCTATAGGATTTCTATTGGAATTCTACTGAAGAATTGTACGTGTTTTTTGCGCTGGTTGTACCGCATATTTGATAGGAAAAAGTCAATATATTTTTAATTTCCGTTCACATTTATCGAGAATTCCCTAGAATTTTAATGGAATATTATGAGAAGTTGCAATAATTGAGATTTACTTATCTTCATTGATAATTTGAAAAATAATATAATTGGTAATCTAATCAATTGAATTATAAGACGGATAGAAAATTATTACTCTCATCAGTACACCCGATAAAAGAAGATAATAAACAAAATTGAATAAAAAAATGTTTTTTTTGCTTAAATTGCGTCGAATAGTCGTTTTTCGGCTGTTTCGTTTCATTTGCCTCACTCTCAACAAATAGATCTTTACCGAGAACTCCCTAGAATTTTAATAGAATTCTTCCAGAATTTTCTATCGAATTTTTATTAAATTTTTTCATATACTGAGAGAGAAACGACAAAGTTCTCAAACAATCTTACTTGTGCTAAGAAAATAGTTTTTTGAAAATTATCAAAAAAGGATTTTTCAGTGTCAAACACGCAGAGAGTGCGTTGGAATAAAAAAATTTCGTCGCAAAAATAGATTACAGACAACAAATGAACCCTTAAATAAAACAATAATAACGATATGATAGCAATCTTGTAACTGAGGGATAAAATATTTGTTGATAAATTTTCCTCTATAGAATTATCCGCCTCTCGAGCCAACGNTACTTGTGCTAAGAAAATAGTTTTTTGAAAATTATCAAAAAAGGATTTTTCAGTGTCAAACACGCAGAGAGTGCGTTGGAATAAAAAAATTTCGTCGCAAAAATAGATTACAGACAACAAATGAACCCTTAAATAAAACAATAATAACGATATGATAGCAATCTTGTAACTGAGGGATAAAATATTTGTTGATAAATTTTCCTCTATAGAATTATCCGCCTCTCGAGCCAACGATTTCGTTGCTGTCGAAAGCAGAACAATAATTCATGTTTGAGACTTTCAAATTCGAACCAAACAAATTCTTTTTTGGCAATTTTCAACTAGCGATTTTCCTAGCCCAAACAAGACTTGTTCGGCAATGTGATTGTTTTTCTCTCAGTGTACGCACGATAACTTGAGAAAAAATGAAGATAGTAATTTGAAATTTGGTATGATTCTAGCTCTTGTAATATTCAAGGTTATTATTTTGGATGGACGCAATCAGCCAGCGGTTCCCGAGATATTCAACCCCTTGTCCATAAAATATTCAATAAAATATATATTATCAATTAATATTTTATCAAGTATCTCACAAACTACTCGACGGTTTCGAATTTCAAATTCTTTTTTGGCGATTTTTCAAATTCATTCAACTAGCGATTTTCCTAGCCCAAACAAGACTTGTTCGGCAATGTGATTGTTTTTCTCTCAGTGTACCCACGATAACTTGAGAAAAAATGAAGATAGTAATTTGAAATTTGGTATGATTCTAGCTCTTGTAATATTCAAGGTTATTATTTTGGATGGACGAAATCAGCCAGCGGTTCCCGAGATATTCAACCCCTTGTCCATAAAATATTCAATAAAATATATATTATCAATTAATATTTTATCAAGTATCTCACAAACTACTCGACGGTTTCGAATTTCAAATTCTTTTTTGGCGATTTTTCAAATTCATTCAACTAGCGATTTTCCTAGCCCAAACAAGACTTGTTCGACAATGGTTGTTTTTCTCTCAGCGTACCCACGATAACTTGAGAAAAAATGAAGATAGTAATTTGAAATTTGGTATGATTCTAGCTCTTGTAATATTCAAGGTTATTATTTTGGATGGACGAAATCAGCCAGCGGTTCCCGAGATGTTCAACCCCTTGTCCATAAAATATTCAATAAAATATATATTATCAATAAATATTTTATCAAGTATCTCACAAACTACTCGACGGTTTCGAATTTCAAATTCTTTTTTGGCGATTTTTCAAATTCATTCAACTAGCGATTTTCCTAGCCCAAACAAGACTTGTTCGACAATGTGATTGTTTTTCTCTCAGTGTACCCACGATAACTTGAGAAAAAATGAAGATAGTAATTTGAAATTTGGTATGATTCTAGCTCTTGTAATATTCAAGGTTATTATTTTGGATGGACGAAATCAGCCAGCGGTTCCCGAGATGTTCAACCCCTTGTCCATAAAATATTCAATAAAATATATATTATCAATAAATATTTTATCAAGTATCTCACAAACTACTCGACGGTTTCGAATTTCAAATTCTTTTTTGGCGATTTTTCAAATTCATTCAACTAGCGATTTTCCTAGCCCAAACAAGACTTGTTCGACAATGTGATTGTTTTTCTCTCAGTGTACCCACGATAACTTGAGAAAAAATGAAGATAGTAATTTGAAATTTGGTATGATTCTAGCTCTTGTAATATTCAAGGTTATTATTTTGGATGGACGCAATCAGCCAGCGGTTCCCGAGATATTCAACCCCTTGTCCATAAAATATTCAATAAAATATATATTATCAATTAATATTTTATCAAGTATCTCACAAACTACTCGACGGTTTCGAATTTCAAATTCTTTTTTGGCATTTTCCAAATTCATTCAACTAGCCCAAACAAGACTTGTTCGGCAATGTGATTGTTTTTCTCTCAGTGTACGCACGATAACTTGAGAAAAAATGAAGATAGTAATCTGAAATTTGGTATGATTTTAGCTCTTGTAATATTCAAGGTTATTATTTTGGATAGACGAAATCAGCCAGCGGTTCCCGAGATGTTCAACCCCTTGTCCATAAAATATTTAATAAAATATATATTATCAATTAATATTTTATCAAGTATCTCACAAACTACATGACGGTTTCGAATTTCAAATTCTTTTTTGGCGATTTTTCAAATTCATTCAACTAGCGATTTTCCTCGCCCAAACAAGACTTGTTCGACAATGTGATTGTTTTTCTCTCAGTGTACCCACGATAACTTGAGAAAAAATGAAGATAGTAATTTGAAATTTGGTATGATTCTAGCTCTTGTAATATTCAAGGTTATTATTTTGGATGGACGAAATCAGCCAGCGGTTCCCGAGATATTCAACCCCTTGTCCATAAAATATTCAATAAAATATATATTATCAATAAATATTTTATCAAGTATCTCACAAACTACTCGACGGTTTCGAATTTCAAATTTTTTTTGGCGATTTTTCAAATTCAGTCAACTAGCGATTTTCCTAGCCCAAACAAGACTTGTTCGACAATGTTTGTTTTTCTCTCAGTGTACGAGCCCCACCTCTCCCCCAACCGAAAATAAAAATCTCACCCTCTGGACCTCCGGGAGGCTCCTGCACACGATAACCGAGTTCTCCACGCCCTTCTCAAGCGCCAGCTCCCTGCACTGCTCGACAAGTCCCACCCAGTCCTCAGGCAACACCTCGCCATGCATCTCCCTGTAGAACCCTGGCAGTCGATCCCTGAAGACCCCATTGGGATGTCCATCCACGATCCCCAGAATCCTCTGCATGACGAGCCCCCTGTCCTCAGTGACCCTCAACTCGACTGGAGGTCCTTGCAACGAAAGCAGCGCCCCGACAGCCGCCCCAGCCGCCAGCTTGGCAGCCTCCACCTCGTTAACAGCGTCGCAGGGATAGCTGCTGAACTTGTGCTTGCCCACCACCACCTGACTGAACAGCCTGATCCTGCCCCCCTTGCCCACATTCAGCGTCTTGTACTCGGGTTCCGAGAGGTTCAGCCTCATGGCTAGAGCACTGAGCTCCCCCCTGGGGTCGTCAGCCTCCGCAGGTGGAGTGAGAGGGCTGGAGAGCCCAAAGGAGCCCTCCCCATTCTTCAAACCAGAGGCCATCGCTGCATTCTCGACTGGCGCAGGCTCTGGGGATGGCCTCTTCAGCCTCTCACTGAGTGACCTCACCACCCTGCGAGGAGGAGGCGTCCTCTCCCTGGTGTTTCCCCCAAAAGCCACCTGTGGAGTCATCGAGCCATAGCCATTCGCATTGACATCACCTGCAGGGACATCTCTGAATCCATTCCCTCGAAAATCTTCGTTAAAGTTGAATCCTTGAGGCGTCTGGGGTGGGCTGACCTTCCCACCATTATTGTTTCGATTCTGGAAGGCTTGAGGGCACCTGGGCATCGACGAGTCATCATTCACCTGGTAATTCTGGTAATTTTGGTGGCTCGTGATCACTGGAATTGGCTCTCCCCTCGGTGGAGAGCCTGGATAAGTCGTCACCGTTGGTTCTGACTTGACAACAGGTCTTGCAGGATAAGTCGTCACCGGTGGCTCAGACTTAACAACAGCTCTTGGAGGATAAATCCTCACCGTTGGCTCTGGCTTAATAACAGGTCCTGGGGGATAAGTCGTCACAGGTCTCTCAGAATTTCCTCCAGATCTCTCAGAATTTCCTCCAGGTCTCTCAGAATTTCCTCCAGGTCTCTCAGAATTTCCTCCAGGTCTCCCATAATTCCTGATCTCTGCATTTCCATTACTTCGAGGGTAGCTTCTCCCACCTTCTGCAGGTCCACTGCCCCTGAGGGGGTAGCTCCTGCCCCCTGGGTAAGCCCCAGGCCTCTGAGGCTGGTAGCTCCTCCTGGGGAACTGGGGCACTCCCCCCTGACTGTTGAACCTCGGTCTTCCCTGGTTTGCGCCACTGATCGTCGGTCTTCTCGACGTCATCTCCAGCCTCGATGGCTTCCTCTTCGACGTCTTCTGCTTGCTGATGAGGGCCGCCAGGTGCCCCGTCTTCTCGTTCGGAATCACCTCCACGTAGACCACACCGCACTTTCGGTACTGACGGACCCGAGGGACCTGCGCGATGAAGTCCTCCAGGGTGGCGAACCCCAGCCTTCTGTAGGGGATGTTCTCACCCTCCAGGGATCTGTAGTCCTTGTTCACGTGCTCCAGGGGGACTCCTCCGTTTGTCGTCTGCAGACATGCCCTCAGATTCGACATTACCTCCTCCATCTTTTTTTTTTTTGGCTCAACTGGGATTTCTCGATCTCCAGTGACTTCCGCTTGTTCTCAACTCGAGCTCTTTTTTTTTATGAAACGGGAGAAAAATCGGTGATTCCGGCGGTCAATTTGATAAAACTTAGGATTTTTTGGGGAAGAATTGAAGGGAATTGAAGCGAACGGAAAGATTGTTGTCGTTTGATACCTGAATTCCACGAATTCTGAGACTTCGAGAGTCAAAACAAAGTCTCGAAGGGTAAACAATGAACGGAGAATGGTAAATAGTGGGGAAAGTAGTCGGGGAAAACTATTCTGACTCGGGATTCGACTCGGAATTGCTCGAGGTCAATGATTTCGGACTAAATGAAACGGTTTATGAACGGGGACATTCACTCACGTAGCGGACGAGTTACGACTGATTGAATTTGGGGCGAGAGCTCGTGTTTATATTGCCGAGGAGACCGGCCGCCGGCTGAGGTTTGAGCGGTGGTGGGGGCACTTTCGGGTGGGGAGGGGTGGGGGCAGTCCTGGGAGAACGGGGAATTTTCGGAATTTGCGGGGAAAATTGAACGGAAATACTGAGTTTACAAAATATAATAATTGTAAAATTGAAGAATGTATTATGAGAAATAGTAATAATTGTTTTTAGTCAAATGTAATAATAGGTTTTTACGTAGGGGAGGATGGGGTAAAATGGACACTTGATTTTTTTTTTAATATTCATAACTCAGAAACAGATCTATCAATTGAGCTCAGCCTGTGCTCATCACAAAGAGGAATCATTGTTCTTTCTATTGGAAAATAAAATTATCCCATTTCAGGAACAATTTAACACGGCATGAACATTTCAAAAAAAGTCAAGGGTCCAGTTTACCCCACCCTTCCTTATACGTGTAGTGATAATAATTGATGTTCAATAATGAAGTTTAATAATAATTTTAACGGTAAAGTTTAATAATAATTATGAAAGATGTTTAGGGGAAGTTGGGGTAAAATGGACACTTTTACCTTTTTTTTAATGTTAATGACGGGTTGAAATGTTGATAAAATGTCATAATTTTTTTTTCATTGCAAAGAACAATTCTTGGGATGAGCCTACACTGAGCTCAATTGATAAATTTGTTTCTGAGTTATGAGTAATTAAAACAAAAGTCTAGTGTCCATTTTACCCCAACCTCCCCTATACGTGTAGCGATAATAATTGATGTTTAATAATGAAGTTTAATAATAATTTTAAAGGTAAAGTTTAATAATATAAAGTTTAATAATAATTATGAAAGATGTTTAGGGGAGGTTGGGGTAAAATGGACACTTTTGCCTTTTTTTTAAATGTTAATGATGGGTTGAAATGTTGATAAAATGTCATAATTTTTTTTTCATTGCAAAGAACAATTCTTTTCCTTTGGGATGCGCCTACACTGAGCTCAATTGACAAATTTGTTTCTGAGTTATGAGTAATTAAAACAAAAGTCTAGTGTCCATTTCACCCCACTCTCGCCTAATAATAATTAAAACTGTAAAGTCTTTTGTTTGAAACAAAACAATTCTTTTCAGTATAGTATAATGATAGTTTTTTTTTTGCAACCAAAAAAATTGAAAAATTAATCGGAGAAAACGTTTTTTTGAGAAATCCAAATATCTTTCAGTTTGACGCAGGCCACAATAAAAATTTAAGTATTTTCAATCATGAAATTTAGCAATTGAATTGCGCGCGAAAATTTTGAAAAAAAAGAATATTTAAATATCGTTGAAATGACATTTTGCAAAAATTGTTATTTTTTTAAACACTTGTTGTGCATAAATAAATCGTTGAAATTGTTCGCCAATGACTGGATGGAATTGAATCTTTCTTTCAAATGTAGGTGTTGTCGAACCCCATTAATCGCCATTAATTAAAATTTAACTCATCGATTAGTTTTTTAAATTTTCGAATTTTTTCGAAAATCGGTTGTCCCACGATAACTAAAGAAAATGTTCTAAATTGATTGAATGATGGCTTAAAAAATTTGTTTGGATGTCCTTTCGACCGAGTTCGAAGATGTTGGCGACCGCAATAATCGTTATTTTGATTTATTTGAAAATTTGCAAAAATTTTGTATTTTTTGAAAATCAGGATTCCGGGGATATCTTTGAATATCATGCTTCAAATGAATTCAATCACAGCTTAAAATATTTGTTTCAATGCCATTAAGTCGAAGTTAAAAGATGATTACGATAGCTATATTGGTTGATTTGATTTTTATGATGAGTGTTGAAAACTTCGAATGTTTCCTGAATTTCGCTGAGAGTGAGCTTTCCGATGGTTTCTTCAAATGTGATGTTTCAAATTCATTCAAGTGTGCATAAATAAAATTTATGCCACTGATGCCTGAAACCGGCTGGATTACACACTCGACGCTTCGCGTCTCGTGTCTAATTCAGCCGGTTTCAGGCTTCGTGACATAAAATTTTGTTCAGTACTTGTTGGGAAATTTCGTCCTTAACGTGTGTGGTTACATCACTCGCCTTCGGCTCATGCTGTAAACCCCACACACGTTAAAGACGATATTGCCCCACACGTGCTGAAATATACTATTTTCTATTAACATTTTATCGAAGGGCTGAGGGGAGAGATAGAGCCGTAAAAAGACAATCGGTTGTACAGAAGAAAGGGATAACACGAATAATGATGATGATAGCATTCAACTAAGTTGAAAATCTGACAAAATTAGTTGAAAAGAAATCTTACTCAATTTAACAAAATGAAATAAACAATGAATGATGCACGACAGAAGGGAATGATTCTCCTTACGGGAGAAAATCGAGAAAAAACTCGTTTTTCACCAAAAAAAAACGAAAAATGATAAAATATTTTTTACGGTGTGAAGGGAGGGGGTGGAGTGATGTGACCGGAAGCTGGGATACGTCAAGTACGGGGAACGTCAACGAGACTGACGGATTTTCATCGTTTAAAATTTTAGTCCGGCGTTTCGAGGGCCTGGCGAATTGATTTGGTTAGAACTACGGGATTTACGGGGGTTTTTACGAGGTTTAGGGGGATTTTAGCGAACATATTGTACTTACGTGGTGTCACGGTGCTTTCTCTTGTCATCCGGCAATTGTTTTATCGCCGATGTGTCTCGTTGACGAGTGCATCGGTCTAGATAATGAGGAGTCGGAGGGAACGGGTTTTTAGTGAATTTTTTCGCGAGTGGGTGGAGAGGGGGAGGCACGCTTGCGCGTGATGTAACAAATGAAGTGGTACCTGCGGGTCACGTGAGCTGAGACAACGGGCGGTCGGTTTTAAAGCGGAATTTTTAGCCGGAGTTGTTGCGTTTTTTGCGAGTGATTTATTTTTTCATTAATTTTTATGGGAAAACCTTGCGAATCACGCACGAAAAAATTTAATAGAAAAACCTATCGAATTCGTTAGAAAATTCTATTGAATTTCTATTAAACTTTCTATTAGGTTTTGACTGATTCTATTGACATGTTGAATAGAAAACATTCAATAGACAAAGTCAACAGTATTCGATTTTTCTATATAATTTATTCTTTTCGTATATTTTCTGTAGAATTTGCCCGACTGAAATTTTCTAAGCTTTTTTAATTCTTTTTTTATTTTCTTCTCATCAAGAAAATCAAACGAAAAAACTTGGAAAACTTGAGCCGAGGAAATTCTATAGAAAATATCTCAATAGAATAAGTGGTATAGAAAAGCCGAATTTCATTTTTTTTAAAATAAAATATTTCCACTGAACGTTTAAAAAAAAAGTCAAAAACTAATAGAAAGTTCAATAGAAATGCAATTGAGTTTTCTATCGAATTCGCAGAGTTTTTCTATTTATTTTTTTGAAATATGAAAAGTATAAATCTTACAACATATTCACGTTTTATAACCCCTCAAATCTTCTTATAATATTTTTGTACTACAATTCCGCTTGAACGAACGGTGCGACCTGAATTATTTTTTAATTCAACGATTTTTGCTAAAGAATATGCAATTTCGATTTTCGAGCCGATTTTTTTTTTCATCTCAGCAGTTGCTCAGTTATTTCATAAATAAAGCTCTCAGATTTTTTATATTCTTTGAAGTTTGAAATTTTTTAAATTTCAAAAGTGAAAATTCTTAAAATAAAAAATAAATTGCTATTCGGTTTCATTCCTCGCGTTATTTTTCACAGTGACACGAAGTTCATCGGAGATTACAGAGGATTGAATTGAGGGATCCGGTTGCATCCGCCTACTTGTGAGACGGTCATTTTCGATGCGATAGCTGTTCTGTGAAGTTGAGTAATTTTTTTGAGATTAGACGGAGAATGAGGAGATTGAAAGAAAGAAAGAGACTTGTAAACGAGGGAAGTTTTTTAAGGCTAGCGGTTTACCGAAAAAAACCTTTTAATATTAAAATACCCTGTTTTAATATTTTAAAGGTCTCAAAATAAAATTTTCAAAAGTCTTAATCTGAAGCCTAAACGTCTTAAGAACATCCAAGTGCTGTATCAATTTTTTTTCACGCATGAAAAAATAATATTTCGTGGATTTCAATGAGAAATTAAATCTTGACCTCAAAAAGATTGAAAAAAAATGGGCGAAGTATTTGACTATCGACAAGAAGAAACAATCAAAATATTTCCAATTAAATCTAAACAGGCCATCGGTGATGATTATGAAATTGAGTCATTAACAAACATGATTGAATAATGAATAATGCATTAACGCATTCAATAACGTTGATTAATAAAATTCAATTTATTGAACAAAATTTACTACTGCATTGAAAAAAATTAAACGATGTTAATGAGCGAATAAATGGACGAACCCTTGGGATCATTGCGGTCGAATTAAAGAGTTAAATATCCAATTCTTCAAATGGGTTTTTCCCGGGAAAATTTCCCGCTCCTTGAATAGAAGAGTAATAAACGGGGCATCCCCGGATTAACTCTACCCTCCAAATTTTTCGACGACAAAAACGGGTCCAACACCGTTTATGATGAAAAAGCCATAAAATGAAAGACAAAAAAAGGAACAGGTAAAGGGAAGTGAATTTTGGGTTCAAGGGCTGGTGTTGAATTTGACAAAGAAATGGAAAAATTTTGCACCACGTGCCGACCACACGAAAATGCGAGGATTAACATTATAAGTGAGCGGTCCACTCTTTTTGAATGAAAATGGAATAAAAAGGGGGAAAAATAAATGCCCGAGAGACGGTCACTTGTGTAGATTGAGGAATGGTCTAGGGGGCAATAAATGCCGTCGAGAGGTTGCGGTGGCCTGGGTTATTGTTGGAGGTAATAAAAATATTCAGGGATTGCTCGCGTTTCGGACGAAACAGTTATTTTCACCTCGACGTATTTTTCCATCGCCCCCGTTAGTCCCTTTTATTTGTTGGAAATGTTTTCGTTTTCCCCGAGAGCAATAAACATGAGCAAAAATTGTACAATTTAATTCTGAAAATCGAATGACTATTTCTTAATTTTTTTTCTAATTATCTAATTGGTGAAAATTGGATTCTCATTTTGTAAATTGAATTTTCCTCGCGCAGAAAAATATTTATGATCTAATTGAAGAACAGTTCAATTTGGAATTTTATTTCAATTGGACATGAGAATTTTGATCATTATCTCAGCAATTAAGTTTTCAAGAATAAAGAGTAGTGGAAGGAAGGTGGTCCGCATCGCTATTGAGGGCAATAAAAATATTCAAGAGTTTCTCAGATTTCGGAGAAACCAAGAAAAAATCACATCTCTGAAATGGGCTGTTGAAAAAATCTCAAAAAAATCGAGAGATAGTTTTTCCAGTTCCCCAATCGTAGAAAAAATCAAGATCAATTTCTGAGAGAGTGAGGGTCAGCCGCAGGGATAGCCATATCCATTAATTACCATTACTGTTAAATTATCAAGTTGTCAATCATTTAATATCACTTTTAAAATTGAATTATTGAAATAATCATCAATTTAAATAGCCAAATTTTGGTTTATTCATTAATCAGTCATTGAGTTATGAATATTGGCGATTATTTGGACAATCGGAAATCCCTTACAAGAAATAGAATATTATCTACTTAGCACAAAAATTATAGTTCCATATTTTTTATTTAATTCATCATCAATTGGAAATTTACATTATCAATGATTTTACTTTTTTTAAATTTCGACTAGCATATTTCAACCTTGATCAATGTAAGTCGGAAATTCATTTAAAATATTAATTAATATTAAAAGTAAAAATATCGATAACTTTCAGCAGAAAATTTGTTAAAAAATTTTGAAAATTGGCGGCATTCTGTTGCCTCTTAAGGATTGACGTAAGCTATTTTCGCGCCATTTTTTTACAAGAGTAAATTTTTTTATGGTCAAATGTCATAAAACTTCGACAAATCGTTCTTCGAACAATTATAAGATGATCGATCTATAGTTTAGCTCTGCGTCATATTGTCAACTTTTTTAACAAAAAGTTGATATCGACAATATGACGAAGAGCTGAGCGATAGATCGATCATCTTATAATTGTTCGAAGAACGATTTGCCGAAGTTTCATGACATTTGACCATAAAAAAATTTACTCTGGTAAAAAAATCGCGCGAAAATAGCTTACGTCAATCCTTAAGGATGTTCTACACCCTTTCTACCAAAATTCACGTTTTTTCAATTTTTCTGGCAAACTTATGATGGAATTGACGTGAAAAAATACAACGTTTTCATCACGCTGTGACGAAAAGTGAACTTTTCGGCACGCTCCGCGTGCGTAAAAGTCCAATTTCCGCCACATTGTGATGAAAAATATAGTTCGTAACTCGTGAAAAAATGTTTTTTAGCTCGTGGGATTATATCACTCGTCTTCGGCTCGTGATATAAGCCTCCCACTCGCCAAAAAACAGTTTTTCATCACGCGGTGCGAAAAAGTAACTTTTCCACACAGCGGAAAACGTCCCTTTTAAAACGTCCCTTTTCCGCACATTGTGATGAAAAATATCGTTCGATACTCGTGGGAAAAGTGTTTTTTGACTCGTGGGATTATATCACTCGCCTTCAGCTCGTGCTATAAACCTCCCACGAGCCACAAAACACTTTTCCGCACTCGTAACGAAATATACTATTTTGACACTGCTGCTACGTTCACCTCGTGTCGAAAAGTGCCTTTTCGTTTACTAGTAAACGAAAAAAGGCACAGTTCGCCACTCGCTGAACGTAACATCACTGTCAAAAACTATTGTTCGACACATGTGAGACAGGAATTTTCAGCTCGTGTGTCTCACTCTTAAATTCTGTCTCACTCGTATCGAAATATACTATTTTGCACTCGTTACGAAATATACTATTTTGCGTTTTGTCATTATTTAATGACTGACGAAATTTTAAGGTGGTGCGAACATTTTCCTGCGTTTTCTCTAAACTTTTAAAAAGAATCACAAAACTGTAGAAAAAACGCATGAAAATTATCGCACCACTACGCAACTTCGTGAGCCATTAAAGAATGACAAACCACAAAATCGTTATATTTTTTCACGTCACTCCCATCGATAATTTGCCAGAAAAATGAAAACAACGTCAATTTTGGCTAAAAGGGTGTCGAACATCCTTAACTGACTACCTGAACAAATATTGAGACTGTTTCATTTATGGCCAGTGTTCCGCAACACTGAGCTCGGATGACCTGTAGGGACCATATCATCATGTTTAATCCTTACGCAATTAACTGCGCTTATAATAATTGATCGGGATTTAAGAGTTAAACAGGCCTAAATCCCGAGTAGTTTCAACAGGATTTTCCCCGAGGGTCATATACTCATCATCCCTCAGCAGACTCGCAATAACCGGGACTTTCCGGGAACACTTCCTCCCGAAATCCCGAGCGACTAGAAATAAAACGGGAGGAAAGGCTGAAGGACCTGCAGGAGCAATAAAACGATCCCTCCGAAAGACAAAAAAAGGAACAAGAGGGGGCTCTCAGGTACAGAAAAGAAATGGAACAATTTTTCGCCACGTGCGGGCCACATGAAGCCAGAAGTGCACGGATTAAGAAGTGAACGGTTCGCTCTTTTGAATAGAAAACAGAATAAAAAAGGGGGAAAAAGTAAAGCGGAATGGTCTGGTGGGTAATAAACGCAGTCCTAGGACCTCAGTTAGAAGGTGAAGTGGCCGTGGGGGAGGGGGAGCCTTGAGTTGAGACTCGGGGTAATAAAAATCCCGAAGGGCAGCTGGGATGTTCCCCAGAGTCGTAAAAATATGAGAACAATGCGCCCATTATTACCAACGGGAATTTGAAACGTGAATTTTCACAGGAATGCAATCTTTCCTGGAGAAATCCTATTCCTATTTACTGAAGATGAAAGAAACGTGAAGTTGTTTTATATCGAAATATTTCGAAACTGACTGACCGCTAATCCTTAGTTCTTCTGATTGGTCAATATGTGACACAAAATTATTCACAAAAAAAACACGCGGCATTTTCAAATTCTTCAGTGACATAATTTGAAGTTCTTCAGTGGTAAATTTTTTTTTCACGTCATATATATATATAATATATATATTTCACATGTATATATATCATCGGTGAAATTAATAAATTCTGCCCTTTTACGGAGACCGATTATGTTAAAAAATTGAAGATAATTAATTGAAAATGAAAAATTCTTTATAGATTCTTTTACTCCACTTCGCTATTCACTTCAATCATTAGTCGAATTCTCTTTGATTCATTATCAATATTTATAAGGTATTCATGAGAAAATGAAATTCAATGAATTCCATTTCTTCATTTCAACAAATGAATAGATCAGCGCGCGCGAGAGCACGCGCATAGATCTTGTAAATGAAGAATCAAGAGAATTTTGGGAGTTGACAGGAATTTTCAAACGGAAAAACTTCAATTTTCAACCGGGAAGGTGAACATGTTCACAGTACACTGAGAGAACTCTTGATGCAAATATTTCGTTGCTGTCGAAAGCAGAACAATTATTCATGTTTGAGACTTTCAAATTCGAACCAAACAAATTCTTTTTTGGCAATTTTCAACGCGAGATGTAGTTGGCCCAAACAAGACTTGTTTGACATGTTTGTTTTTCTCTCAATGTAGCATCATTTATCTTACGTGAAATTTCCCTGGCAGCATTCGGAAGCAATAAAAATAAAAATCTAAAACAGACGACTGAAATGCATCAACTTTTATTAACGAATGAAAAAAAAAAACTAACTAAGGATTATCACGACTGACACTTCGCTTAAACGTCATAGACCGTAGCTCTGACTTCTGATCACTCGAGGTATTAGTGGGGCTCTCGGACAATGTAGCCCTCTCCTCGGTTGCGGATTTTCCACGCTCGATCCTCTGTTTGCTGAACCTGCCCATGCCAGGGCGATAAATCTCCATGGCCGGTCGATCCTGCAACCCGAAACCCCATAAATTACGTAAACAGAGCAGATCTGCATCGACTCGAGAAACCGCAGGGATATTTTTGGCATGTTTCGTGGAAACATGTAACCAATATCTCAAATATTACGAAGTGTTCAGGTAATATTGACCTTATTCCTTATCCTCCGCTCCTTCCTGGAGTCCTTTTTCTCTTTGTGCTTGTCGTCGTGGGCATTCTTCTGGAGATTGCTCTGGTCATCTCCATCGAGGGACTTGTGCCTCCTCAACTGCGCCCCGTCGCCACCCCCCGCGTCTCCGCCGCTCTCCAACGAACTCCTTCGCCGGGATAATTTCTGGGTCTTCTTCGTGGTGGGACAGTGGTGGCTGTCCTCCATTTCAATGTCTCCTGGTTGTTTTTGGGTTTCGATGGGGTCTGAGGGCTTCACTGTGTCCCCTTCTCCTCTACATTCTGTGCAGTAATAGGCATATCAACCCATTATAATTACCGTTAAATTGTGAAGCTGTTAGTGTTTAACATGAATCTTAAAAATTTTAAATATTAAGGATGTATTACACCCTTTTTGCCAAAATACACGTTTTTTGAACTTTTCTGGTAAATTGTTGATCGAATTGACGTGAAAAATATACCGTTTTTGAGTTTTATTATTACTTAATGACTCTCAAAATTTCATGATCGTGCAATTATTTTCCTGCGTTTTTTCTAAAACTTTTCGGAAATTCACAAATCTTTAGAAAAAATACAGGAAAAAGATTGCACTACCATGAAACTTCGGGAGTTAGTCAGTAATGATAAAACGCAAAAACGATAGATTATTTCGCGTCAATCTGATCAATAATTTTCCAGAAAAATGAAAAAAACGTGAATTTTGGCGGAAAGGGTGTAGTTCATCCTTAAGGCCCGGGTGTACTATCTTTCGAATGTTATCTAGATTTTTTAATCTTTCGTAATCCAAAATTGTCAATTGAGTGGTGCATCATGTAGAAATTCCCAAAAATTATGATGGAATGATAAAAAAAAAAAGAAAAAATTCTGAACTTTTTCGAAGAGCGTTTTTAATTGAGATTCAGAATGAGTTGAAAAAAGTGAAAATTACAAATATCTGATTCGCTGTGGCAAATTATCAATCAGCTGTCATTTTCCATGGTGGATAACAAAACACTAACTCCTCATGGGAAGTGACAGCTAGGTATCTCTATTTTCAAAACAGTGGTATGTAGTCATCTGGCATTTTTATGTGATAAAAGTGTGATTAAAAAATTCTCCAAAATATTACAATTTTTTTCAAAGAGCCTTTTCCGTAATAAATGTCTCTGTGCAGTGTGGGAAAAGATTTACGAAATCAGTCTTCCCCCTGCATGATATTGGGTGACAGGCCGCCATTTGTCACCGTAAATCAGATACATTTTCCAATTTCTTATTATTCAACTTATTCTGAATATAAATTAAAAATGCACTTTGAAAAAATTAAGAATTTTTTCTACTTTTTTTTTTATTATTCAGTTATAATTTTTCAAAACTTCTGCATGATGCAGGACTTAATTGCCAATTTCAGATGACAAAAGATGAAAAAATACATCGAGATAACGTTCGAAAGAGAGTACACCCGGGCCTTAACTTCACTACAATTGGCATACATTAAGCTCCGTGGGGTAGGACATACGCGCGTGGACGCATCTAGTTCTCGAAAAAAAACAATTTTTTGATTCTCCGCAAAAAGAAATGATACTCTCACCTGAATTCTTTGGAGTTGTCTCTTTACTCTGCACCTTCCTGTCCCCACTGTCGCCCCCTCCGCCCTCGGGGGGGCTAGGGGCCCCCTCAGTCCTCTCGATTTTCGCCTCCTTTTTGCACCTCTCCCCCTCCTCCCTCTTCGCCGGCTCCTTGCCACCTTCTGCACCTCCTTCCGCCTGCTTCTTCGACTCAGCGAGGCGCCTCTTCTCCTGCCTCATCTTCTCGTAACTCTTGCCCTTCTTCTCCTCGGTTCTCCTCTCCCTCGGCTCGCGGAAGTCCTCTCTGGGCTCTTTGGGGATTTTTCCCTCGGCTCTCCTCTCCTCCCTCGAGTGATTGTGGTCCTCTCGACGGCTGTAGGATTTCTTGTCCTCGTGCTTCCTCTGGTGCTTACCGTCGCGATCTTGCTTCCTGTCGTCCTTGTACCCCTTGGCCGAAATTTTTCCGTCACGATCTCTCGGGCCTAGCACCTTATCACGCAATTTATCGTCTTTTTTACGGGTTTTCACCTCTTTCGGGGGCCTTTCTTTGTCTTCTTTGTTTTCTTTGTTCTCGCGGCCTACTTCACGCTCAGCGTCGGGATTTTTCAGTACCTGCAATTATTTTTTTGGTTGTAGATGATTTTCTTCGAGCTCTTTTTAGGAATGAAGACAACACTTCAAGTTTGCACGGAGATAATTGACAAATTTGAATTAAAATGACTCTTTATTTCACATTGTTGGATTCGTTTCAATGAAGTTTTTTGTCGAAATTCATAAACTCGGAGGGGAGATTGGGGCAATATGGACACTTTAGACTTTTTCAAAATTATTCATAACTCAGAAACAAATTGATCAATTGAGCTCAGTTTAGGCTCATCACAAAGGGAGAGAATTGTTCTTTGTATTGAAAAAAAAAAGATTAAATTTCATCAACAATTCAACCGGTCACTAATATTTTTGAAAAAGTGAAAAATGTCCATTTCGTCCCAACCTCTCCTATAATATAATATAATAATAATATAATATCATAATATCATTATATTATTATTATTATTATATATAATGATATAATAATAATAATATAATGATATGATATATTATGATATGATATATGATATATTATTATTATTATTATTATTATTATTATTATATAATGATATTATGATATTATATTATAAAATAATGTGATAATATTATAAGATGATATCATCTATTATATAATATTATTTGAAAAAAAAAAGTGTCCATTTTCCCTTACCTCAAGGGTATCCAAATACTTTGGCTATTTTTTCTTCAGTCAAATGCTTTTCAATTTTTTGTAGTCGAACATGAGAGCTTTCATTTGAGCCCCATTTGATCCAAAGTTTCCGGACATTTTACAATGATTTTATTATTTAAATTTTGCAGGTCTGAATTTGAATCTCGATATTGAACCATTAGAAAATATTTTTAAAAACTGAAAAAAAATTAGAAAGCTGACTTTTGAAAGAAAATCAATGAAATCATTTTGAATGTTTCATTTTTAAACGAGGATTTGTGGTTAATAATTTATAAACAATCAAGTTTCCACCATAAAAATCATTTGTTTGGAATCGCAACAAATTTTTATTCATATTTGGAAAAATAGAGTTTCCGAAAGTTTAAACAATTTGAATAATTTATTTATAAACAATGTAGAGAAAAACGTGGAGAGATTTGTTTTCAATACAATTTTTTCCCATTTAGCATGCGTCATGATTTTTTCAAATATTTCTCACGTAATTTAATTGAAAAATTTGATGATTGAAAATTGTAACAGATGCTTGGATATCCTTAAGGTCTATTTTATTTAACCTTCCCCTGAACCACTGTTTTCCCTTGTCTAATAAATTCGCTCATTTTGATGTCGAAACAGTGATTTATTTTCAAAATTATTTCCAAGAATAATTATCAATTGCTCTCAGTGATAATTTCGAACGAGTAGAAGAATCTCAAAGGACTTCCCTTCGACCAATTCGAATGGCGCGAATAATTTTTGACATTTTACATTTCACCATCAGACAGAATAAAAATGAAGTAAACTTTGGGAATATAATTCATTTAGAAAATTCGCTGGAGCACGTGAATTTCTTCCGGTCACTTCAACTCCACCCCGGAGTTCTAGGAGTTGTGGATGAGGAGGGAAAAATCTTCATGGATTTTCATGGATTTTGGCATTAAATAGAACTCACGAAGTGATGTTTCTCATGAAATACATTGAATTCTCAATGACGTCCCTGCACTTTTTCTTGTGAGAGGGAAAGAACAGATTTCTCTTGGACTTCGCTGCAATTGAAATCGACAAAATTTCATATCTCATCGATTTGTAAATGGTGAACAAATTGGTAAATTGGTAAATTGAATTACCAATCGTGAAAATCATGGACGACAGCGACTTGCAATTGTCATCAGGAGAATCGGGATGTGATTGTGATCCAACCGAGTTGACTGAATATTCCTTCAAAACTTGAGCTCTAGAATTCTTGATATATCCAGAATAATGAGAATATAAAATAAAATTGAATGAACGAAAATTCACAGGAAAATTCACAACGAAAATTGACGCCAGTTTTTGATGAAATTTAATAGAAAAGTTTAATTGAAAAACCTGGCGCATTCGCTAGACAATTCTATTGGAATCTTCAATTAAAAATATTATCTAAAAAAATTCAATTCGATTTCTCTACACGACTTATTCTATTGAGATATTTTCTGTTGAATTTCCTCGGCTCAAACTTTCTTTTCATCTCCAAAAACCAAACAAAACTTGGGAAATTTCAGCCGAAGAAATTTTCTGCAAAATATCTCAATAAGAATAAGTTGCGTAAAAAATCGAATTCACGTTGTCAAACAAGTCTTGTTTGGGCCAACAAAATCGCTAGTTGAAAATTGCCAAAAAGAATTTGTTTGTTTCGAATTTGAAAGTCTCATACATGAATAATTGTTCTGCTTTCGACAGCAACGAAATATTTATCTCAAGAGGCGGATAATTCACCCCAGACGGTGCCTTTTCAGGATGAAAATATCTCATACAGAGGAAAATTTATCAACAAATATTTTATCCCTAAGATACAAGTTTGTTATCATATCATTATTATTGTTTCATTTAAGGGTTCATTTCAGTAGCGAAGTGGTAAAACGGTTTAAGTCGACTCATCTCCCAGTTGAGTTTTTGAGGAATATCTCCGAATCTAAGAGAGATAGCGAAATTTTCGTAATTACGTTGGTTGTAGGTCTCAATTGGCTCTACAAAAACGTTTATAACAAACATTTTGCTATCTCCCTTAGATTCCGAGATATTCATCGAAAACTGGCCAATAGTCAAAATCGACTTGAACCGTTTTACCACTTCGCTACTGATTTGTTGTCTATGATTATTAGACAGCCGAAACAAAAAACTACTATCCCTTGTTTCGCGTAAAACAAATATTTTTCGGGAGTAAAATACGTATGAGAGTATCGAATAACGAAGAAGTAGTGCTAGAAATGACATTTCTTGTGTGTACAGAGAATGCAATTTTTTTTTTAACTACTAAATCTATTTTTGCGACAAAAATTTTTCATTCCGCCGCACTCTCTGCATTTTTGGCACAAAAAATCCTTTTTTGATAATTTTAAAAAACTATTTTCTTGGCCCAAATGAGACTTGTTTGAGAACTTCCTCGTTTTTCTCTCAGTATATTGACCTTAGTATACAATATTTTCTACTCAACATTTCCAAAGAATCGGCCAAAAACCAATAGAAAGTTCAATAGAAATTCACCAGAATTGTCCAGCGAATGCGCTAGTTTTTTCTATAAAATTTTTTCATACGTGTCCTCCCCTGCTCCTTTACCTTAGAAATGGTCGGTTCGTCCTTGGCCCTCCTCCTCTCCAGATCTCGTCTCCTCCTCTCCTCCCTCTTCTCATCTCTGACCCTCTGCTTCTCCATCTTCCTCTGCTTGAGATATTCCAACAGGGGAGTGGTTGTGACCCTCTTCTGAGCATTATCAAACGGCTGAAATGAGAATTCAGTCTTGGGCTGGGCCCCAGCAGCGTCAGCCTCCAGGTTCTTCAGACTCTCCAAGAAAGTCACGTAATAGGGATCAGTCTCGATGGTCCCACACTTGACATCCTTCTTCCTGCCGACCCGTTTCTTCGGAAGTCTCTGAAACGGCGCAAACTCCACCACCGCGGGGTACTCGGTCCCTTTGCCATCGACAAACACGTAATTATCGAACTTCTCCCTGAACATGAAGATGTCCTTCTGATCTGTGAAGTTAATGTAGGCCCTGCAGAAGGCGTGCTGCCCCAGGGACATATCTGCCTTGACGAAGTGCAGGTAATCGTGATCAGGGAGGGGCGAGACTTGCTCGATGAACTGGGCCTGGGTCATTGACGGTGGCAGCCTTCTGATCACAACCTGAGGCACCAAAATGAGGAATAAATGGGAGGGAATAGCAAACTTGAATGGATTTTTTTCAATTTCCTCAAGTTTAGGACCTGAATAATACATTTTCCTTCGTAAACGTTGGAAATATTGCTCATTAAGGATAATCGGGCGAGGGGGAAATGTAGGAGGTGAGGCGGAGGGGTTTCTATTGTTTTCCTGCAAAACCAATCGCTGAGCAAAAAATGTTTCCCATTCGGATTCAAAATTCAGGCAATATTAGGGAGTATCTCCGGTTAAGAATTATTTTTGGAGCTAATCAAATTTATTTGTATCTGTTCCACGTATTGAATGGCTTTCAGATTGTTTTTTTTTAATAAATGAAAAAATATTAATCCATGGGAAAAAGTGGCAACATCGTTGGTAGTTTTTTTTTCATCAGGAGATGGTACCACTGGCTCGAGGGAGCTCCAATCACAACGCTTCATCGCTCTCTCTCAAGAGACGTTTAA